TTGGCGTATTGTCAAAATCTGGATACATGGTGCATCGACTTCTCAACTTATTTATAGTTTTATTTCTTACAGAAAAATGAATGTTAGTCAATGATAAGAAAATAAGAACATACAAAATGTTCACAAAAACGTCAATTTGATTGTGATATTATGTTCTGCTGCATTGACCACAAACACACTTCTACATCCATTTCTTTGTATTTTATTCCTTTTCTGGTAAAACACCTCAATATATTGTGAATATCATCATAATTTGTTACAATATTGAGAAAGTCAAACAAAACTTAAAAGTGCAGATATGTTATTTATTTCATGCATTTTGATTGGAGGACATGGTGATGGTCATAAAAACAGCCAACCAAATAATAGTAGGGGTTTAATAAATAAAAATAGAATGAAAATATTGTTTGTAAATGATGACTAAGTGCATCTCAGAAAGAATGAGTTGTACAACAACTTTAGACTCTTCATGCAGTGCGAATACATGAAACAAGCATTTTTGATTTCTCTCGAAGGGTCAAATAATTTACTTCTCAGAACTGACCAATCAGCTTTCAAATTGTCTTTATATTCATATGAATGCTCTACCACAACCGAGCATAGTCCTTCGGGTAGTTCTAACCTACCGTTTATTTTTGAATGGCTTGTGTGCAAAACTACAAGGTTTTTGGGCAAACATGCTGAAGCATCAAAATGACAATCACTGTAGTGTAGGTGAACTCTTTTTTATGGGCATAAAGCTAAAGTCAAAATTATACTGAAACGATGATATACGTAATATCATTGCCTCCATATTCTCTAATGATTCAAGCAAATCATTGAGCAATTTATAGAAATATTTCACAAAGTCATCTCTAATAGCTTCTGTGTCCCGATCATTATTCCGCTTAAAAATCCTATCTCCGTTGAAAAAGCCTGTAAAATCAATGTCCTATGTCAATACGTTCATTTTGTTAAGAGTTATTAACTTATTTAGGGATGGGTTCTGTAAAAATTGATAATCAACTGCTAAATAATCAGCTGAAATCCACAAAGAATGGTCATTAATAGACCCAACGTAGATAGGAAATTTATAATTCTTTTCATGTTCGGATGCAGTTACCATTAAACCGCCAGACCAGTCCTCAAGAACAAAATAGCAGTTCTCACAAAGTAATGCGAGGACATCATCATACCAAGTCAATTGGTTGCAAAGAGATAGATTTTCTCGTTGACTTTGCTTTTCGGCAAAAATTTTTTCCAGTTGCAGATACAGGTTGGTATCATTAATGAGGTTTTTAAATATTAGGAACGCAATAATAAGATTGAATTTCTCAATACAACGCGGTAGTATGGCAAGAATATCATGTATTTCGTCGGCTGTAAATTCTGCATCTGACTTCCATGATGAATTTGATAACTTCTCATACAACAGCTTTTTGATTGGCAGTATAATGATTTTGTATTCGATCGGAGAGCTACTTTCAGCTTTTGAAGATTCGCCGGTTATATTGAGCAAAATGCCATCTTCATTACTCGCGATTGAGTCATGAGCACTTGAGGATCTGGCAATCAATTCATTTCTGGGAACGCTATAACATCTGCATGCCATAAAATCCTTATCTTCACAATCTTCATGAATAGACAATACTTCAAATGTTACAAAAAGCTTTATGCAATTGGAAGCAGAACCGACTTGACCGAAAGCATCCCGATAGATCCAGCATGAATTTTCGTATAAGGAATATTCATACCGCATGACATCCCGAGACGTCTTCTTTTTGCTAGTATTACTAAATTCATGTCAACGATAGGCTTAAGGCCTTCATCAATCAAATCGTCCTGTTACACAGGAGAATACATGCCCGTGTTTAGCTATACTACATACATGTAGTTGCCCAGCTAGTCATTATAGATCTCTTTGCACCTGCACTTCCGTTAATATTTCGTAAATGTGCCATTTTTAGTTTTTAAATTATAAACAATTTATACCATCAACATAAAGTTACTTAACTTAATTTTTAATTAATAGGCGAGAACAACTATGCCTGAATCGAAAATCATTGCTTTGGATTAGTAGCAAGTGACGTATATTCACCTTCGCCATCTTTAGTATCTTCTAAACTAAGCTTCCCCACTTCTTCCTTAATGTCACTTTTCGCCTCTCTGCTTTCATCCTTAGATGCATATTTCGACAGTTCATCAAGCCTAGCTACAACATCTTTCTTCATTGCGTCATTTAAACTATCCAAAAGTTCGAGTAACAGCTCAATGGTACTTTTTGTCAATTCAAATGCGCCTCCTTCTTGTGTTTCAAACACTTCCTTCAAATCAACATCCTTTTTAAGCGCCTCCACACTTTTCTGATATTTAGTATATTCTTCGGTTTCAAGGGAAAGAGCGCTACATAATTTATTAAATGCAATATCTGCATACTTGAGGTACTTTCTTGTTGATTCTACCAACAAGTTAACCGTTTCCTGATCGATTTTTGGATCCTTATTTAATTGATCACCGGTCTTGCCTAGCCCTGCGAGATAATTGTCTGTTGCGTTATGAAAATTCAAAAGCTCCTCTTCCATATTTTTGAGCGAGTACATTTTATCAATATCACATTTGTCACATACTTTCCCCAAAATATCACCGAATGTCTTCCGGATCACATCAATATGGCAAATACGCTCTTTATAGACTTCAACTAGTTCATTTTGTATCCTTTCTTCAGTCACTGCCGCTTCGTCTGATCGACTTAGCTTGCTATCAGCTGCTAAGCACAAACCTATCAGCAACAATAAAAACTTAATAGAGTACATGCGCTACCGATTTTTATCTGTATTTATAGTTTTCACTCTCAAAAACTTACTTTTTAGGTGATTATCCTAAAATGCACATGAATACTTTCCTATAGTGTCGTATACTGCATTGAGAGTGTTTCATGTCTTATAGCCCAATTTTACTCACACTTTTGGTTTTGCATTTATGTATATGCTGAATTCCCGGTATAAGCAGATGATATTATTAATACAATTGTACTTATGAACATGTTTCAATATCACGATCTACGTAAGAATACCTTTGGTCAATTTAGGTAACTACCATATATTCCTCCGATTAACCAAAGATAAGTTTCTCATGTCCCATTCTTATGACCAAAGCAAGATAAATCGCACTGATTTCCCGTGTTAATCTTTCAAATACTTCTTTTTTGCCGTAGGTTTTTTCTTAAAGTTTCACCATTCCACCAAAACATGATTTAAGAGCTTCAAAGCTAAGGATAATACATAGCCACATAATTCATTGCAAACTATAATATATAGGCATATTAATGAATTGAATATGATTTATGGATGCTATGATAACTGGTAAGTAGTCATTGAAAGGTATAACATATCCATCCCTATCCGAATGTGAACAGATCCATAATAGATTTGAAAAGATAGAGTTCTGCTAGTTTAGCAGTTTAATTAATACAGTTTTGCATTTCTAAGAACAACCATTCTTCTATTCCAAAATGGTATCTGGTGTTCAACTTTTTGTGTTCTATTACACTTAAGAAAATATTATTAAAATGGTAATGTTCACATTCCATATGCATGTTTTTGTCTAAAATCATCATACTTCGTATGTGGATATAGCTAAGTATTTGTATTGTGCTATTGTATGCAGGTGGTATAGTGAAGCGTACCATATTACTCCACTTTTTTATTATTACACGATGAGCGAAATACAATTATCTCACAACTATTTGTGCAAGGCTTTTTTATTAGTTTTTATTCAAAAGTGTTTATATTAAAGTTGTTATTGTCTATCACCTTGTTTTGTTCTTCTTCTGAAATCCTATTGAATATTTTTGGTTTTGTGGAGCTTTCAAAAACCTAACTCTGTCAACTTGTGCTTTATCATGACATTCAGCAACAGATGTACGACATCCTCGCATCTGCTGTGTCACAACACATAACACTTTAATGAAAGTTAAAGCAATATTTATATTCAATAATTGCACTGCTAAATGAGTTACACATCTATTTTCAACTATTACCGGCATATCTGCCCATCTATGTATTAAGTATCAAGCATGCAGTATTTTTGTTCTGTTCCATGTTCAAAACTTGGTAATAATAAGTTTGACATTCAAACATACATGTATCTTTAGCTAGGAATATGAGTAAAATGCAAGTCATGTCGTCATTGTTTAATGAAAAGGCGATGTTTATATCAAAAGTACACATCTCCTGCTTTTTGCTCGGCATGTAAAACACTAATTAAACACAACAATACACATTATCTACATGGTGCGTGGCCATAACATTGGATTATTCAAAACAAACTACAATTGTTTTGAAGATTTATCATTTGCTTATCGCTTTCCTTTTGAACAATTTTTACCGCAAATTTTATTCCATGTGCCAAAAAAGTGTTAAACTCAAATAGAGAACTATAATTTGATGCTGACTCAAACATTAGTTGAACTTTGTGCTCGCCTTAAATATAACTGTGCGTTATACTAAATTTCGTTCGATTTAAATACGTGTCTGTTAAAGAACATGGTTAGACTTATCACTTCTTCCATGCAAACCCTGAATCATTTCGTCTTCTTTGTGTAACAGATATGAAGGAGGTTTCAGAGGGAAGCTGTAAATAAAAGAAACTTTTTTTTTGTTCCTGGACTATGGTTACTTAGCCAAACTTTTAATAAATTATCTGATGGTATCTAAGATGAACACATGTACTCGGTTAATATTTGTGTTGCGTATTAAGCAAAAGTATTGGATTAATGTGTTCCATCACAATTGCTTGATCTTCAGGAGCCGCGAGCTCAACATCAATTCGGGACATCCGAAATAAATTAGAGAACAAAAATTTATTCTCTCTTGCTTTTATTCTATCATTTGGCGATACGATCCAATACATTTCTGCAAATTCATCTTCATTCCTTCTTTCGTACTTTTTCCATGGGTGGCATGCATCCATAGCATCGCACTACGAATTAATGGTTTTTCAATACGGATAGTTCTCTATGCAGACATATTATCAATTCATACACAGTGTTGGCAAGGTTTTTGTTTTTATTTTTGATTATATATGCGGATCCAAACATTTATTCAGCGTCGGTTTCAATCTCAAGGAAGCTGCGGTAAACCCCTTTTTAATGGAACCCATCATGTTACATCCGGTAGTATGCTAGATAAATGAGTTATCATGCCTGCGGAGCAGTGACCCGCCCTATGTTAGCAATAAACAAAATATCTCCTTCAAATAACGACATCATATGCTAGCAGTACAACATATTTAATTTTTGCCGTTTTAGATTTAACACAGGGATGTACTCGCAATTAACACATAAATTAAACATTGGAACGATTACAAACAGGTACTACCCAGTAAGAAAGTTAAAACCAATAAATATGAACCACCCCATTTTTAAATTAATCACATCTTTCACTCATCACACTTATCGACAGACATGAAATCGCTTAACCGCTTCTCATAGTCAATCAGATTATCCAACAGCTTCTTTTTCTTATCACCATCCGTCTCCGCATCAATCCGGCTCTGAAGCAAAGCAATTCTAAATTTTAAGTCATCAATAATCGTGTAATTTGTTTCTCTGCCTGACAGCGTAAGCTTCTCTTGCAAAATATCGATTATACGTTTCTGCTTTGTAAGTGTATCCGTCCGTCTCTTGCTAATTTCCTTTGACTTGTAAAATTCGTTACTTAAAATCACCAACTCGTTTCTTGTTTTGGTATTTTCCAGTTTCAACGCCGCTAACGCGTCTTTTAAGCGCTCATTTTCCTGTGTAAGTATTTTATTTCTGTCATCAAAATCAACACGAGCCTTCTGCTTTAACGTGCCATACTCCTCACCAAGCACAGGTATTTTCTGCCACAAATCGTTGTACTCGATCCCAAATTGCTTACAGACCAGATCAATGATCCTGCCCATCTCCTCAATACGCTTTCCTCTTCTCTTCATCTCTTCACACGTTTTCACTATCAATGTGCCACATTCCCCATATCTCATCCTTGTCTCATCAACTAGTGCACGCATATCCACCATATTACTCCTCGTCCTTTCATTTTTACACCATTTTTCCACGTTCCTTCCACTCTTGGTCGTTCTAAACCTGAGTATATCCTTGGCATCCTCAACCTTACCCACATTCAGCAAAAACAGCAATCTCTCGTATATTTCCATGCTCTTATCATCCAAGCGCCTACTTATACAGTCAAACAGACCGTAAATATTGCTGAGAATTACGTTATCGTTCTCCACATCTGTTTTGTCCAATATTGAATCATTTGCATCTATCTGCGATGTATTGTCCTCTTCAATTTTTAATAACTCGTTGATGAACACTTTAGGACCGGACAGATTGAATGTGCTGCGAATGGTCGGTTTCGATGGTGATTGATCCGATTGTGATTGAACGGGCACATTTTCCTTCTGTGTATCACTGGCAGCGTGGTCAATGTACTTCATCAGGGCCCGGCATTTTAAAAATTTATGTACCGTCCAGGTGGTACACGGAACGGTGCGTATTGAATGGTTTTGTTGCCGTTACTTGTACAAATGTGCGTGGCAGGTAAAGTCATACCGATTATAAGAAATGATGCGCGTAGGTAAATTTACATTGATTTGTACGGAATGATATGTCAGTAATGGCATGTAAAGCTTTGGTAAGACGAAGAAAGCTGCGATGATGCGATGTAAAAGTAAAAATGTGAGTGCATGTGCTTTAAAAAGAGCGTTGCAAGGTATTTTTAGACATACCGTGCGATGACGTGTCCATAAACATGGCAAAACGTACAATACAGGAAATAAATAACGAATTTACTTACTACTTTGGTACGAGGGTACGGTACAGAAATACAACCGTAGTACAACAGAGTAGTTGCATGTAAATTATTATCTAAGCAATAGCATGCATTTATTGCACCAAAGCGTGCTAAATGACAAGTAAGCTGTGGTATTCTCATTCCATAACGGTTACTAGCTATGAATTGATGGGCATGCTACCAATTTACACCGGTAAGGTGTAAATAAAGCAATAATTAAATCAATACATTTATTCATCGGAGCAGTCCTTCGAAAACAAAAATGTGGAATAGCCAAGCAGTAACATGAGCGGTGTTTAAATTCGTTTTGACCAATTCAGAAATTAGTTACTCATCATAGGGCCATAAGCTAATAATGCAATACAGATGGTAATACGTATTTATACCCGCATAAGATATTTTACGATGTACCATGCGTTCTGAGTGTAGAACGAATCAATTTAATATAAATTGTTGTGGTACTGCTTAATCGGTAATATGACGGTCATACACCAATAATCATTGTGATACCACACACCACACCATTTCCATTGTTAAAACGTTGAACAAACACGCCACTCCATTTACATTCTCATCTAATTAGCACTATTCCATAAACGTACCATAAGTAGTACAAAGCCGTACACCATCATTCAATTACTATATTATCGTTAAATTTCATCTCACCGCATCATCAATCTCTTTTTCTTTCATCCTTTCCTTCATCCTTTCGTAATACTTCCATCTCCCCAAATACACCGGGTCATAATAAAATTTCTTGCACTCATCAATACGATCGGCCAGTTCCTTTTTAGCATCCCCATCATTCGTACTGAGTCGCTCAGACAGTTCATAAAGATGCGCTAAATCATTCATACCTTTCCTGTTCGTATCACTGCCGTGCTGATGCTCATCATCTGTACGGTCAGTTGCTCCCTTCTTTACAACGTTTGTTGCATGTGTATCGCTTCCATTCGCATTTGCGCCGTGTACACGGTGCAAATAAAGTGCACGCTGCAGATCATCGTTCAAAGTATCGTAGGCCTTCTTCAGCCCAACAAAAATGTGCTCACTGCCGCCCATCATTGATGGATGATAACGCTTGGCCTGCGTGTAATAATTGTGTTTAAGTCTTTGCTTGTCTATGAAGAAGGTGTGTGGTAGATTTAATAGCGTGAAGTAGTTTTGAGATGGCAGCATATTTCTGTTTTGAGGGGGTACGTAACGTAGGCATTTGTGCGCTTCTGGCGTGGTAAAAATTTTTGTAGATATGCTCTTTTACGTAGCCCTGGTAATTTTTATGGTTGGGATTGACTGTTCTAGCAAAGAAGAGAGAAGTGGTAGGAAAAAGATTATGGTTGACAGCAAGAATAGGAGTAGCGGGAGTGATGGAAATGAAAATAATACGAACAGAACGGGGGGTATTAACGGCAGTATGCTTAAAAAGAATGGAAATTTTGTTAAGACAAGCATGAACAGCGTAACCACACAAAAACGCAAGAACATAGAAAAAAAATCAAAACGAAAGCAAGCACAAGAACAGGAGAACACACCAAATGACAGAGTAGCACGTATTGGAAACGTAGCAGGTGAAAAGAAAACGCGCAGCACTGCCAAACGCACGGTAACGAAGAACAGCACAGGTAAAAATACGCTAATACCACGCACACGTATACCACCACCACTGCCCTATCTTACAGCTACGGAGTCATTGATAGCGCAGCATGGTACGATAAAGGATTATCTGGATTTACTCACTTTAAAGTATTTGAAGACCGGTGATTTGCTCTTTGTGAATGAGCTGATCGATTGTGGGAGTGTGCAGAGGAATGACAATGTTTACTATGCATTGTGTAATTTGGCTGATGTTGTGGTTGAGGATGATGCACTGACGGAAGAATTGATCGGTAAGAAGGGAGGGGTTGATGAGGAGTGTATTGATGGTAAATGTGGACAGAGCGGGAATAACCAGCAGGAGCAGAGCAAGGAAAAAGGTAAAAATAGCAAAAGAAAAAGTGCTAACACAATAGAACACATAGCAGATCACCGTACAAGCACAGCCCAAGCAAAAGCGCTAAAAATACGCTTAATGCCCAAGATCATAAACTTTTTCAGATTGGCCATGAAAAACACGTTCATTACATCCAAAGCAACACTCGTAACTGCCTCGGTAGTATCAAAGATACCAGCGCTCATTGCACCCTTCATCCTCAAAATACGCAACAAGGAAACGTACCGTGTCGTATCAAACGCTCTTCTGGGCATGAAAGACGATGGAACGATTAACCGTGAGTTGATAGATTTGTTCTTCAAGGAAGATGATTGGTTGGTGCGAATGCGCATTGTTTATGTGATGGTAGGGCGGTACGTAGATGAGGGGATTGCGAGGATCTATGATTTTATGGTTGGTGTAAACGAAAGATATGGTTTATGCGATGGAGATGACCGTGGTAAGCATGCTCGTATAGGTGGCGATAAGCCTGGGCAATGCGATGGAGATGACCGTGGTAAGCATGCTCGTATAGGTGGCGATAAGCCTGGGCAATGCGATGGAGATGACCGTGGTAAGCATGCTCGTATAGGTGGAGATGACCATGATAAGCATACCGGTACAAAGCAGATACACACACTTTCAGACCAAAGCATGAACAAGAAGAAGGTACCCGCCAAGTCAAACACTCTTCTACTAAAACCGCATGATAGAGCGCTCATCACACAAATCAACGATATGCTGCTCACCTACCTCTCCAAAAATAATATGCCAGTCCAAACAAACATGTTCTTGCTCACACACCACAACTTTTCTCGATTATTCTCGGCGACCGCCGACAAGCTCAAACTCATTAACACGTATCTCAATCTGTCCTGTCCAACCGCACAGAACTTGTCACTCATACTAAATTACGTGATGGAGAGCAAGAATGGAAAGCTGTTGGTTAAAATAATCGAAAGCGGGCTGAACGATGAGTGTGTTAGATGCTTTGTTGAGAGGATGAGGGATGTGGTTGTGGAGAAGGAGGTGTTTTATTACGTGGTAGGTATGAAACGGCATTGGAACGAGGATGTGAGAAGGTGTGTTGATGGCATATTAGCTGATAAGTTTTGTTTGAGATGATCATTACAGCCTTATCTCACGATGTGAGGAGAAACACATTTGTTGGAATTGTTGCCTTCCCATGCCAGCGTTAAGTAAATTTTCCTCCTTTGACAACGAATTATTTTATATTACGTGTCATAATTCATCATAAGATCTGTATGTTCTTATCTTTTCGGGAATTACCTGTCATTTCAGCATTAAATAAAACATTGCTGCTGTAGAGCAATGTTTTTAGGTGTGGTGTTCGGTTGATTGATGTTGTTGCTTCGTATGCTGTGATGTACGAAAGGTTTTGATTGTGTGGTCATGAAACATCAACTTTAACAGCTATTGTTGATGTTGCAAAGAGAAATATATTGCTAACATTATCACGGAGGAGTGGTATTTGTAATTGCTGAACTATCGTTTTCGCGTGTCCTGATTAAACAATATATTCTTCTAAATGACAATTGCATAGTATTCTTTCCGCATTTGCCATACTACGTACTCATTACAGACGTAGATCTGTTTTAATTCCAGTATAGAACACGTTTTACCAAGCTGGTTACAACAATTTGTTGTAGATGTGGCTCATATCAACATTACACATCCTCTCAAATAACATAAATCAAAAAACGTGAGAATGAAGTGTTACTCCAGGATGAGAATACGTTTATATTCGAACGTATGAAGGCATAAAAAGTGATTTGTTACAGACGAGGCTTTTACGGTACTAACTAACAGTAGTACTTCGAGCAAATAAATTATGATGCAAAAGCAGGGCCGAACCAGGGCTCGAACCTGGAGCCTCTTGCACCCAAAGCAAGCATTCTACCATTGAACTATCCGGCCGCGGTCAGGTCACCAACAATGCAATAAAAATACCTAATAATACACTGTTTCATGCAATGTACGATTTCTATGTTTGAAAAGGGCTATCTGTATATGTTCGCAAGATAATGTGATGCGCAAAAGTAGGTATGATGTATTATTACTAAGCCTAATATGCATTTTCACACGGATAGGAGGCGTACAAATGTGCTGATTTGTTTCATTCTTAGCGCAGAGTTTACCCCATCCGAGAGATTATTATAAATGCTATCCAAGCAGAAGTAAACCGGTAATGCACATGCTATTGCTAAGGAAATGAAAATAAATGCGTTCCTATCGTACAAGTGTTGTTCATTCTCATATCACTACCTCATACCTATCAACTGTGATAAAATCTGCCCTTTTGCTATTTCTGCTATATTCTGCCAACTCATGATTGTACAGATCAATTTTTGTCAGCAACAGATTATAGTCATTCATAAATCTCCCATTTCAACATTGCGCATGAAATAAACATCTTCATTTTATAAAAAGAGTCGAACCTGTAAAAACCTCTTTGTAAACATAAAAATTTCTTAGCCCCAAAAACCATGAGAGAAATAGTTTCTATACACATTGGACAGGCTGGCGTACAAATAGGAAATGCATGCTGGGAGTTATACTGCAAAGAGCACGGCATACAGCCTGATGGTCGGCCTGATGAGAACTTCGGGCGCAATGATTCGTGCCTCTCCTTCTTCAGTGAGTCGTGTGAGAATACATACGTGCCGCGCACCGTAATGATTGATTTGGAACCAGGGGTCATCGAGAGTGTGAAAAAAGGGCCGTTCAAGAAGTTGTTCCACCCCGAGCAGCTCATACACGGAAAAGAGGATGCTGCGAACAACTATGCGCGGGGCCATTACACGGTCGGAAAGGAGATACTTGATGAGTCATTGGATAGAATAAGGAAGCTAACTGAAAATTGTGAGGGATTGCAGGGGTTCCTCATCTTTCATTCGTTTGGTGGTGGCACGGGCTCAGGTTTTGGCGCACTACTCATGGACAAACTGACTAGTGTTTACGGTAAGAAATCAAAATTGGAGTTTTCTGTCTATCCTGCGCCGAGGATCTCTACCGCTGTTGTAGAGCCATACAACTCCATATTAACAACACACACAACACTCGATCACTCAGACTGCTCATTCCTTGTAGATAACGAGGCTATTTACGATATGTGTCGCAATTTGGGGATAGAACAGCCGAAATATGCCGATCTTAACCGCATAATCGCCCAGGTTGTGTCCTCGATCACAGCGTCGTTGCGATTCCCTGGCGATCTGAATGTGGACCTGACAGAGTTCCAGACAAATCTCGTGCCCTATCCGCGTATACATTTCCCTTTGGTCGCCTACTCTCCGATGCTTTCACGGGAGAAGGCATCTCATGAGCAGCTCTCTGTACAGGAAATCACCAGTGCATGTTTTGATTCAAAGAACCAAATGGTGAAGTGCAATCCACAGAATGGTAAATACATGGCATGCTGTCTTCTGTTCAGAGGTGACGTAAATCCCAAGGATGTTAACCAAGCAACCCTGATTGCTAAGACGAAACGAGCAAGTCAATTTGTTGAGTGGTGTCCCACCGGCTTTAAAATCGGAATGAACAAGCGTGAGCCCACAGTGCTGGATGGCGGCGCCATGGCGCCTGTTAAGAGGGCGGTGTGCATGCTTTCCAATACCACTGCAATTGCTGAGGCCTGGGCACGGCTAAATTCCAAGTTTGATTTGATGTTCGACAAACGTGCATTTGTTCACTGGTATGTTGGAGAAGGAATGGAAGAAGGTGAGTTTACGGAGGCACGTGACGATCTGCGTGTTCTTGAACAGGATTATGCCATGGTTGCACAGGATTAAAGTATTAATTTCCTTTTAGTTATTTCGTATTCTTCTCTTGCGTTTTAAACATGTTTCTCATTGTTCCGCATTCCCAATTCCGTAGTTTTTTGCTATTTATACTTTTTTCTCGGTTTTTATGCGTTCTAGAACATGTTTTTAGATGTTGTATGATTATATCTTATCAGTTCATAGATCGGTTTGAGCATAAAATGCGAAACAGATGCATGAACTGTAAGTTGTAGCATGGACGAACCTCCATTTTTTGAATGCAATTATTTTCTATAAAATGCTATTTCATACCAAATCGTTGTATAATGGGCACTAACAATGATTTGTCTAATAAAATAGCAGCTATTTGCGCTGGACATCATATTCATGGCAAAAATTGATGCAATTAAATTCACTTAGTAATACCAATGGTGATGAAAATTGATCGAGTAAGCACGGCCATCGGACCCAAAGAATACCATCCATGATATACGACCGAACATTAAATTTGTTCTGGTGATGCGCATGAATCATCTGTGTTAGTTTTTTATTTTATGTTCTAGATCGAACCTGTGTAAAAAGTATAAAAATAAATGAAGCAACCACTATAACAATGTTTCTATCTTCAATAGTTTATCACATCGTTTATAGAGCCATGAACATAGAACATAAAGCTGTTCGAACAAAAACATGTGGAAATGCTCGAATAAGAATATTTAAAAATATTTGAGGCACGGGTCACACAAATATTCATATGCTACAACGAACTTTATGAAGAATGTGTAATGCTGCAATCTATACATGAAAATGTCGTAAAATATACAAATACATTTGCAAAAGCACAAATATGTAGAGATTAACGATCTATGCAGCAAAATTTACGAGCTGCCTGTTGCTGAATAGAGCTATGGGGAATGGCATCGGAACATAGAGCAATATAGCGAGCAGATCAACAAATGACCGCTCTTTAATCATTTATATGTTCAACAAGGTTATCATGGTTTATTTATAGGCAACAACATCATTTTCTCCACTCGATATTGAACTTGTCAAGAACATTTGCTCCGTATTCCTCATAATCCTTCATTCCTATGAAGTAATCAAGGTCCTCGAGCCTGCTTAGAATATCACAGCCTGTGTATGTACTGAACACATCCAGTTCTTTCGTTACCTTTATATTCTTGTGCTCCTTACTCAGAACATCGTAAATCTTGTCGGTGAATGATAGCGGCTTGGAGTAACCACCACACAAGACAACGTTAGCCAGAAGAGAGTTTTTCATTTCGGGTTTAATCTTGTCCACCAGGTCATTCACGGCTTTTGTCACATCATAAACCACCCTCTTCTTCACCTTTTCTTCAAGCTCATCATTGTTCTTCTCAAGATAATTGAACGTTTCCTTAAACACAAACTTATCTTTATCTTCGTTTACTATCCAACTATCAATTTCTTGTCCACTGTAGATCCTAATACTCTCAATTACCAGAGAATCACAAACAGCAGCACATTCCACACCACTACCACTAACATTTACAACAATACCGTTGTTCTTCCCTGCAGCGTACAGGTCCATCACTCTATCATCAACAAAAAGGATGCCCTGCACCAGCCTCTTTTCAAACAGATTAGAAAGCACTCTCCTATTGGCACCGAGATTGATTATCAAGTACTCCGTTCCTAGATTTTTTTCTATTAAATTTAAATACGTCTCGTAGTTGTTAATCTCCTTGTCAATAAGAGTGTGATCCGGTGTCTTACCGAATATAGAACAGTCTCTTAACGAGTATCCCATCTTGTAGAACGATGTGCCTATGTCAATGATGAATATGTTATTTTTAATCATGTTGAGGGGCAATCGAAAATTATTGAGGGGAAGATTTTAATAACACAAAACTGTTCATCAGATCTGTACCTTACCCGGAGAGCTACCTATGAAATGGCCAGTAATTACAGATTTGTGGTGCATAAAAGATGCAGTATGCCAGACTTATATAATTTTTGGAATCAGAAAACTTATTTGTGTATATTACGGTCCACATAGAGGATAGAATAGTAATAAAAACTGTAAATGGAAGATAACTTGAAAAACAGCAGAAGTTGCTGAAGTTGCTGAAGCTGCTGTGACATGTTTGCGCAGATAAATGGCGTTAACTGGCAAAATGTATCCACACCGGTTGTGCACATGCCAGCCAATGGAGTTGCAGAAACAACCAAACATATAACCGAGCAGTGACAGGCAAAATCGGGGACAGGCCGTGCCAAAGTCTGTTTCAGACAAATTTTGCTGTGTAAAAGCAGTTGTTTGGCTAAAAGTCGCAAAGTTATTTCCCCACACACAATGATATGGAAGAGAGACTCGTAAATATTTTTACCTCCTGTTTTACCGCCAAGTACTAAAATATTTAAGACATGCGTACGAAAATAATTTTATGGAAAAGAAATTGAGTTACATCAACGAGTACAACACGGCTGAATTCAAACTTACGAGGCCGGTCAAAAAAAGAAAAATCTTGGTGGAAAAAAACAAAAACAAATGCAATGCTGAACGTGAGAATAGAATACATGTGGCGTGTGATTCGGAGAGAGAGTCAACATACGATACATCTGAGTATACTTTAAGTGAGGTTGAGGCCTCGCCAAAACCTGAAGTGGTGTACATCGACAAAGATGATCTGATAGAAATACAGGGTGTTAATCCTAAGAGATATGGTTGTATACGAAAATTGAACTTTAGCAAGGAGTAGAAGTGTATGGATGTGTTTAAATAATGAGTACTGTATTTATGATGATTAATAAAACTGTCATTGTGCTATAATATTCTTTTCAGCATCGCTTCGCACACAAATATTCCGTAAAATACATTTCTTTACACCTATCTCAGCAATAGCCATTTGCACTGGCGATTTACGTTATGTTATCTTCTGCTGGGATTGTAGGGCAATGCACAAACCTCCTTAGAGAGTGCTACCGTTCTTAATTACAGTCAGTCCCTGTTTTGGGACCATTTCCAACGAATTCGAGGCTTTAAATGACCGAACACATTGCCATTTAATATTTACCACAGAAAGTCGGATTTTTTAAATTTTTTGAACTCCGCTTCAGTCTCACACAACACAGTAGACCATCCAATTTTCATCCATCACCGCATATACATAACACTAATATAAGCTAACAAGAGAGCGGTTTGGAAAACGGCAACGAATAGACGAACAAGTTGATGAACCGTTTAAACGTCAAAAAAGACCGATCGTACTGTTTCTCATGACGTTTCTTCTCCATTTACCCATATGGAGAGCCAAGCTGATTTATAGATCTTAAATCCCTCAAGAGGATCGCACCCTGTAGAAGCCTGCCAAGAAACTCTGTAAGACACTGCACATCGGCCAACTGCATCGAGACCTCTGAGTCATCCCAGAGAACTACTCTAAATTTCTTTCTCAATACCTCCTCTGTATTTTCTTGTGTTATCTTGACATAGTACCCTCTATTCTCTATAGCATCCCGCCAGTAGTCCAACATCAATATAAAGACACAAAAAAAAGAAAAACATGCAATACACAATGATACGATCATAAATGGCGAGAGTTAAGCCTATTTATAGCTTTAAGCCGTACAACCCATATCAAGATGCCAAACATCTTTGTATATATTTATGGTGATAAATCCGTAATTAACTTATTCCAATGATAAAACACATGCAAAGAAGACGTAACCATAACAATTTAATTGATTAAAATGTGCTATCATGCTTAGCGCGTATCCTTTTCTCCTGCAGGAGCCTTTGCATCACACTAATATGTCCATTTTTATACTTAGATTTAAAATTCTGCTATGATGCGTACGCTATTATCAGTTAAGAACTGAACACACGCAATGATGAGTCGTCAAATTTTGTCTTATCATGTCACTCCCTACGGTGTATCCGCTTGCGAACAACCTGGTAAACACACGAACCATGCAATAAGCATAAAAAAATACCAAATAAACAACAGTGTATGTAACTTTTATTGCTGCTGCTCGTATAAGTAATTGCCTGTGAATGTTCATTTTTGACTATTACTTGAAGTTTTTCAGGAAAACTTAAATAGCTTTTTTTCTGCCACTAGAAGGCCAAAACATTCGCATCGTGTCACTCTTCTGGTGGATATACGGTACTATAGCAGTATTTAGGAATCTCACCGTTAGGACACCGCGTAAATCGCGCCTGTCAGAAACATTTTACCAGTAAAATTTGCTCACTTGTTTCGTAGGTTGCCCGCAACTTTTGACTAAATATCAGTAACGCTTTTCATAAACGTGTTTAATTGCTTATTAAATATAATTTCATCGAAATACTCTCAGGCACCATTAAATGCAGAATTCATATAAATAGAAAGATAACTCAAATGTTCAGAAGTCAGTTCTGCGAAACCTAAATATGACCCTTCGAGAAAAATAAAAAAATTTGTTTCAGGTATTTGCACTGCATGAAGAGTTTAAAGTTGTTGTACAACTCATTCTTTCTGGGATGCACTTAGTCATCATTTACAAACAAATTTTTATTCTATTTTTACTCATTCAACTCCTATTAATATTTGGTTGGCTGTTTTATGACCATCACCATGTCCAATCAAAATGCATGAAGTAAATAACATATCTGCACTTTTAACTTTTGTTTGATTTCCTCAACATTGTAACAAACTACGATGGCATTCACAATATATTTAGATAATTTACCAGAAAGGAATAAAATACATCTGCGAATACAAAGAAATGGTTGTAACAATGTGTTTTTGGTCAATGTAGCAGAACATAACATCACAATCAAATTGACATTTTTGTGAACAGTTTGTATGTTCTCATCATTGACTAATATTCATTTTTCTGGAAGAATCAAAACTATAAATAAGTTGAGAAGCCGATGCATCATGTATCCAAATTTTGACAATACACCAACTGAAAAGTTTTTGGTGGAAAAAACACAATTGTTAAATCCTGGTGGTTTTGTCTGTGCTGTAGATAATCAGCTGATTGTCTACCGCGGCAAAGCTTTATTTATTGATCGGACCTACGAGAGTCTGCAAAATGTTCCTGTGCTCCGTGCACAGTTCTTAAAAAAGCACTTCGGTATTGTGCATGTTCTAAAAAAGTATAGAACCAAAAAAATAATACCAGTAGCAGTAAAAATAATCAGACAATATCTCTACACCGACATTCTATATCACTATGTGTACCAGAACAGCCGATGGGTATTGCGACAGCGGGGTGAGGACAAGGTCATTACAAGATTGTATGCGGTCAATCCAGAGGAAAAGGAGAGATTCTATCTGAGAATGCTCTTGCTCAATGTGAGATATGCCACGTCATTCGACGACTTAAGAAGTGCAAACAATGTTGTATATGGCACATTCGAGGAAGCAGCAAGGGCAAGAAATCTTCTGCAGGATGACAATGAATGGGAGAACGTGCTGAGCGAAGCTGCAATGACAGAGACATCTGACCACATCAGAAAGCTGTTCGCATACATCTGTGTGTTCAACAGACCGCAGGATGCACTTGGGCTGTTCAACGACTATGTTGACGATATGTGCGATGACATCGTTAACGAGATATATGGTGATGTGGCCAACATGGCTGACAGCGAAGATCTGACGAACAGAACTATACTCACAACAAACAACGATGCTGCAAAGGAAATCAATAACAGTGTCCTTGACTTGATGATCGGCAACGAAGTGACATACACGAGTGCAGACTCTATTGTCACAGAGGACAACGATGTTGTTGCGAACTATCCGCTAGAGTTTCTCAACAAGCAGCAGCCTTCAGGAATGCCACCGCACAAGTTAGTTCTAAAAAGAGGTGCGTTGATAATGCTATTGCGCAACCTTGATCCAGCCAATGGCCTGCTCAATGGCACACGCCTGGTGGTTGATGAACTCCACACAAACTTCATCATAGCTACTATTGTAACCGGATCCAGGAAAGGTAGCAGGCAGTCATACTAAGGATCGACATGGCACCGAGCGAGACACAGCTGCCATTCATGCTCAAGAGAAGACAGTTTCCGGTTCTTCTTTCGTTTGCGATGACAATCCACAAGTCACAGGACCAGTCATTTGACAAGGTAGGTGTTTATCTGCACAGCCCAGTCTTTGTGCATGGTTAGTTGTATGTAGCTTTGTCGAGAGTGCGCTATGCAAACGGTCTGAGGGTGTATGTTGCTGACAATGGAGACCAAGGAAAGTATGAGAATGGTAAAGTATACACTAGAAATGTTGTGTACAATGAGCTACTGGAATGAAAGTGATTTATTGATTTGTAACTATACAACAGTTGGTAGAAAGGAATGACCTAATGTTTTAGTTACATTCAAAAGCGCTATCTTGGTATACTATCCATTCATACACCCGTTTTTGACAAACGGGATAGCGCAGCTAGTATAACAAAATAACAATGATGAAGCCTTGCGAAACATCTTTGCAATCATGTTGCTGGGCGTTTTCTGATCAATATGAACTGTTTTATCTTTTATCGAGTTACATGATCACAGTAATAGAGCATCTTATTGATCTGAAACTACAACCAATGTGAATTTACTTGTCTTAATTTATTCGCTCTAACAGTACTTGATTTTTTGAAAGAATTTATTTACTTTTGCTATTTTCTCATCGTAACACAGAATAGACCACTACACTTTTAGTACACTGAGATTGCTCACAGTCACCGAACCACAACTCATAAATAGTAGCGCGTGGTCACATTACAAAAAACATTAACCATAACTTTACCCCATTAAATGTCCACGCCAAACAATACATCAGATTCATTCGACCGGAAAGATGATTCAACACTAAAGTCAATCAAAAACATAGTTCAGCGATACAATAAACGACGTAGTACTTCACAAACGGATACCAATCCAACATATTTAAAATTGCTGCTTACAAGCTGCAAAGATGAACTGAAGGAGATGAGCAGAAACAAGAAAAGAGTTACAAGTATGGAAATTGAAAAGATGATGAGCCTTATAGGTGAGATAAGTCAAGAAATAGACGAGCTTGGAAAGATGTGTGGAATTGAAAAGAGACGAAATGTAAGAATGCTGTGTTATTTTCTATTTGTTGTTTGTATAATAGTTGGTGTTATTGTAGGTGCTGTTTCTAAGCTAAAAATATTGAAATAAATTTGTTAATCATGTTTTATTTTTATGTTTAGTACTATCATTCATGAGTTAAATCCTAAGTTTCTGCGACACCAATTGTACCATGTAGAAGACAAATTTTATTCCTAATGGTCTATTCATTCGCCTTACCGCATTTCAAAATACTGTTTTGTCCTATTAGGAAAGACTATATAATCTCATACTATTCAAAGCGTATATTTCACACTTATGGCACACTTTTGCAATCGCACAGGGAATAATTAAAAAGTACAACAGAACCAATCATCGTTCATGTCTTAACCATTGCCTCTATATGTCAACATTAAAAAGCACTCTCTTCAAATAACAATTCAAAAACTATTAAATTTAGTTAACAGAACAACCTGCTCAATCTTCATTTTCTTTTATCCTCTTAGCATCTACCACGTTTGCATCATCGTTCTTAACATCGCTTTTCTCATCACTTGCCTCTTGTTCCGCTACTTTGCCACCACTTGTCTCACTTTTTTCATCAGCTACCTCGATCACGCCGGCCACCTCCTTCGATTTATCTTCGACTACTTCTTTTTTTCCTTTTTTGCTTAACTTGCTTTTCAGCCTCCTAAAGAACTTTTTAATTCCGTTGAACAGCCCACTAAAAAAATTGCTTATATTCTCTCTCATCTGCTTAAATGTGCTAGTTTCCTCTAGTTTATGATCTGTGGCATTTGACACTTCGCTGTACAACGGATACGATGCAATAGCAGGATCATCAGTTCCTTTATCCGTTGATATATCTTCTTTCAAAACATTTTCTGTGTTCTTAGCGCTATCTTGTCCTGTATTATTCTCATTTATTACTGTTGTTATTATTTTATCGTTCTGTTCCATTTTTTCTTTTCTCCCGCGCGGTATGGGCAATAAAAATAATTTTTGCTCCATCAGATATCCCATTTGTCTATCACAAGTAAAAATATGCTAAACGTTATGAAATAGTGTTAAATGTTGTCGTTGTGTCTCACTACCATAACAGAATGTTTTTGAATAGCTGTATGTTTCTCCACATATCTAATGCCAACATCAAGAGCTGTTCTACGGCATTACACAATGCCCAGAAGAAAATATTCGAACTTGTGCATCATCCTCACGAATATTGGTTGAATTTAGTATAATTTGTTCCAAAAAAACTATAATGGCTCTTACTCTCATCGTGGAAGCTTTTGTTGAGCACATTTTGTACACATTTACTTTCTAAGCTTAACCGATCAGAGATTCATGCTATCTCTAGTGAGCAAGTTTGTCAAAGTATGTAAAGCGACTACGGACCATCAACATAGTTTTCGGGCGTTGCAACCAGCATTGTTTCTTTTTAGTTTTATTGGCATGCTTCGACTTTTTTACCAAACTGGGATGGTAACTAAACATTATTTACAGACAAAGTGCATCTCAACGGATTGGTAATTCGAGGTTGCAACAAACATATGCGGTAAATCATTGTACCTTATCACACATCTTTAATTATCCACTTCACCAATGATCTGTTCTACTAATTCTTCCAGGTTAATCATATCATCCTTTACATTAATAAACTTGTACAGCTCCTCCCTATATTCCTCATTGTATTCCTCGCCAATCGAGAGAAATTTCTCGAACTGCTCCTTCTCCATGCACACACTGCCCTTGTTAAATGCAACCAAATGCTTCAGCAGATCCTTCCGGCTGTTCATTTCTCTGCACGACGTTGCAAGTCTTTCGAACTCCTCAAACGTACTCGGCAAGGAAGACAAACCATCCATAGGCGGTGGCACACGGTTGCATGATGATAGCAGATCGCAGAGCGAATCCTTGGTGAGCGGTTCATCCTTTGTGAAAATATCGTATTTTTCTCTGAGTGACATTTTGATGAGAGGGGTAAAACTAGAATTATTTTATGCTCCATGCAAGTGAGAACGATACCGTTACATTGCCACTACAATTTCTTGCCACGTCAGTACTTAAAAAGGTGTTCTTCAAAAACATTGGTTGTTTACTGACAGAGCACCAGAGATAAAATCCACGAATAAGTTGGTGCACTGGAATTAATTTAAGAAACATTTATACCGATGGTGAACTAAAACGGCAAAAGAATTTACGAGACCTTGTTTAATGATTGTCTCCTGACATGACATTTTCAGCAAGAATTCGAATTATGCCCAACAATGATGCTTGCTGTGGGATAGGAAAAGTGAAATTTGCATACTTATAAATGCCTTTTCCGTAATGTGCACACATGTTTTGAATTTCGTGCTTAAGTAAATCAACATCAAATTTCTGTTCAAAAATAGTACCGTTAAGGATCAAGCTGATGGTTGTTTCGGAACTCACTTTCTCTAATTCAAGAATAGCAAAAATTAAAGCGGATATTATTTTCATTGTACGGGTCTTAACTTGTTTTATATGCTTGTATTTTTCGTCATCTTCATCTCCTCGTTCAATTATTTCTTTCACGTTTTCAAGCGTATAGTCAAATTTTTCGGGCAATATGTCACCAGAGGATCGGTTTAAGATTTCCAGGAATTTGTAACCACCTAACATACAGTCCAAACGCTTCCAACTTTTGCCTTTCTTCTCCAAATCATCTTGAATATCCTTGTCATACTTGGTTATCTTGAGAGAATGGGCATCGAAGGATGCCCATTCAACGTTCGTCGCCATGCAGTGTTCCTGTCCCCTTGATTTAAAGTACGCAGCATTAGTACCAGTTCCTAAAACTACTCCAATAGGAAAGTCATTCATTTTCAGAGGTTCGCTCATCAGTGTAGCTGTTGTATCGTTTGCCAGAACTTGAACACTAACTTTCATGTTTCGTTGTTTGAACACTCTGTTAAGTGAAGCAACTGGATCCTTTTCTTTTTCATCTAACGGTTTAAACGAGAAGTTCTTGTGCAGACTTAATATCCGACCCGAGCTGAGGGAATTTTGCTCTATGGGATAGGAGAACGTCAAACCGGCTCGTATCTTGTTTTTGTTACTGCCTAAATATTTTTCGACTTCCTCAGCAATCCAGTTATATACACAACCGTTTCTTCTTTTCGATTCTTCATCATCACCTCGTGGTATAATTACATGTTCCACTTTCTTCATGTTCTCCACTTTGCCTTTCTCGATCTTATATAGACCCAACTTCAGCGATGTGCCACCAAAATCAATCGCAAGCATTTCACCTTCTGCACTTACAGTGGGCATGTTACTTTTCAACACAAACGTGGGAAGAAACATATCTGGATTACCAAGCGGATGTTTACCTCTATCACATTTCTTAAAATCTTCCTTGATATTGTCAGTTTCCAGTTCAGTGTATTCAAAGCATTGTTTTTTTACGCACCAAGTTATTTTGAAAAGATATACCAACCAAAAAAAGACAAACATAATAATTTAGTACTTCTTTCTTTATATAATTTTATAATATCTCTGAATTAATTTTCTTGTCAAAAAAATTGATATGATTATTATTTATCAATTAATTTTTTTGAAAATTTAATAAAAATATGAGATGTATAAAGTTATGTCATATTAAGACATTTTAGATTGTATATGCACAAATTTAAACATGCATTTAAATTGATACTGACTGTTAAATAATCAAAAATGGAAATAAAAAGGCAATTAGTACACCATTTTAATATACCTAATTTGCAGCACAAGGTCATTTATATATTTATTGAGCAAAATATAGTCTCTTTTTCGTGTTATTTGTCAAAAAAAATAATTTAAAAATAATGGCTAATATTTCCGACATTCTGGTATGATTTGATCAACAAACCAAATGACATAAATTTTTATATCTCAATAAATATAAAAATAGTAAAAAATTAACAAATAATCTATTTGCTCAATAATACTTTTTTTGTACTCTAGGTCACTGTTGCAAGTCTATCATTATGACCATTAAAAAATTCCAGAAACAATTATATTCGTCAAAATTAATGATAATTGAGCCTTACATACAGAGAAGATACGTAAATTATTTTTATAGCTGCTTGATCATTATAGTTAAGTAATGCAGTATTAAACTTTTCGAACATTATTGTGTATTTGCAACAATATTAAACACGTGGAATTTTAGCAACTATAGATTACGATTTTGTTGCATGTTCGATGTTCTAGAGACCTGTATTTATCATATTAGCTACTTGAACACGTCTTGCTGCTCAAAATAATTTTCAGATATAATTAATAAATAAGCCGACAAATTTATTTGGTGCGTTGAAAGTGTTAAAGACCAATATTTCATGATTTGTGACACGATCATTACATAATACCGGATGTCACTTAATTTGAATGATTAATCCTGATCAATTGCAAAGAATAATAATTTGTTGATAGATTTATTATGAATCCGTGCATATTCATTGAATAGTCAGGATAAATAAGTAAAACTTATATTTTTAATTCTGTGGGTTCGCACCACTAAATATTTTTTCTTATCAGTAATTTTCCCATATTTTATTTGGACTCGGCACGAAAGTCGGATTATTAGCATGACATTTATAATCGTACACAAGATGAAAAAAACATCAGTAATATTGAATACGAAAAGAGTAAAACCATCCGAAGCTTACGAACTCGGACCAAGTAAGTTAATAAAAATGGTTAGGTTACATTTAATGCTATTTATATCTATAAGTGTCATAACTTTGTCTTATGCCGTTGGTAAAAAAACGTCCCTGAGGTACATACGACTCATAATAAAAAACTCAGTTTCTAAACTGTTCAGAGCATTTTTCAAAGGCAGAGCAATGAGTTCAATTCGCTTGCATAACAATAACAAATTAGCTTGTAAACTACAACCGTTAAGGAATTAGTATCGATTAATTATCATGTTACACCAAAAATGTTCGTTGTACATAATTTTTGCCATGTATTGCTGTCCGAGGACATATTTTCAAATCCCATATTACGTGAACTTTGTCATTATAACGAACTCTTGTCCAAAATAAGAAAAAAATGTATTACCGGGTTATTATTTGGCGAATTCTAGTTTATGATACCGCAATTAGAGTTTTTGTGTTAATAATATGCAATATACGTTTTTTTGTACTAATGTTTGCGTTGAAGTTTCATTTTTTCAGCTTTTGATACCTGAATCAATTTGGCAATTCACCCAGAACTTAGGAGTAAGTTTTAACTTGTTATCATTAGTAATTGTAACCGCGCCGTCTATCTTAAGCTGTCAATTATATTATAAATTGTTTTGTCGCACTAATTTACATTCTTGTCGCCTCTTTGCTTCTTTTATTTCTAAATTTTTTAATGTTTTTACATATCATCACCTACGAAAGTAGCGATTGAACACAATATCACCTTGCTATTGTAACATTAGTATAAAAAGTTCACAATGTAGCTGAATGTATCATTAAATGTGTACATTATAGGCATTTAAATTATGCTCAACATAGGTTAATTAATGACCAGTGATAAATAATCCAAAGGCGTTTGGTGCGTGATTGATCATTAAACTCAATACCAGCGGGCACTATTTTACATTTAATACAAACTTACAGAACATTTTCACTCGTTATTTTGATGCAGATAGGCTGATAAATTTTACGTGAATAATAATCGATTTAACCGGTGAAAAGATTTAATTATCGCGGTAGAGAATTTTTGACTAGAAACAACCGTAAATCTAGATTTGTTTATTAATGTGGGCTAATAATTGTGTATGAAGCAAATACATAAATCATCTTTATCATAGAACTTGTACAGTGAATGGCCACATGGTAACATAACACAGCACTTCAGGATATGAAAGAAGGGTGGCTAGTGTATCATAAATTTGCTCTCAAAAATTATCAAAGAACTGTATATGTGACGAAATAAAATTATTTTTTCATCAATACAGTTAAACGGCGATAAAGAAATTGAGTGACAGCCGGTGAACTAAAAATATAAAAATTTCAGAGATGTAACGAAAAGAGTAACATTCTATATATGAGCTGCTATCCACTAGGCATGTTTAAGCAGACATAAACGCGTTAGATTTATCAGTGGTATTATTTAACATTTGCTATCAAAAAATTATTTAATTAAAATTTTCATGACATTCATATCATCCCAAAACAACCCCTTCATTCCGCATCGAACCCTGATATGATCAAAGCACCACAGATATATGCCATATGCTTCCAGACCATCACTGTATTTTATATACTTCTCGTGCTGTCTCTATTTCATACCTCGCTTATCACGATGCTATTTCTGACATTTTTTGCTTTACTTTCTATGACAGCTACTGCCGTACTCTTCAAAACGATAAATTACAGACACTTACTTTACGGAATTGTTCTTCACTCTATCCTTTTTGTGTTGGTCGTACTTATCATAAGGTACGATAACTCATGAAGAGATAATTAAACGCAGATCATGATATGGCAAGGAAAAACTCTTTTTTTGACAATTCAAGGTCATTTATCTTTTTTTATTTGATTTTACAATACCTCGGAATACAGGTTATAATGAATAGCTGCCCGTTTTTACGGTATAACTTCAAATAATACGTTAAGTGTACGCGATACAAGACAAAACCGTATCATACCCTATCTATGCTGTGAAGCGAGCCGATACATGGTTTGACAAACTCAATTCTGAATATTACGCCTTTTTATCAACGGATCAAGAGTGTTATTCGATAATTCGCGCTGCATATCGGTTCTAAAACTAAAGGTAGCGGAACATCAAAAAATTGATCAGAATGTTTGTTTGACTTTAATCACTAGAAAAAAATTGCAAATATTTCGTCAAAAATAGACCATTATAGAGAGATATACAGGCTAAATGCTGAAATATCATTTATTCAGACAATTTTATCGTGTGAGGCGATAAATAAATGTCACTGAATCAAAGGTACCGCGGTCGATTCCGCAAACCAGAAAAATATGTTCTTTAGATGTTGACGTATGAGCAGATAGACAAATCTTTTTTTTTGTGAAAAAATGACACAAACACTACATCTCGATGCTACAATGAATGGCACCATAGAATATGACCACTACGCTTCAAAACCGTTGAGATGGTAAAATATTCAATAAATCGCCTTCATACCAGCTATCATGAATTGATCGTTATAAATTGAAAAGCAATGTATCCTCAGATAACAATACGTTTAAAAATCATTTATTCACGGTTCTATTTAAATAACAAACTGCTATCGGTGTGCGCAACGGTACGGTCAAACAAGTATCCTTTATACTGCGAATATCCGTGGTTACTTCGTATCAGCATCCCTTGCTCGTTTTATAATACTTTCCTGCTTTTTCATAAAACATGTCAAGCAGTGCAAATCCCTTTTCATCAATATTTTTGCCTAGATAGTTGCTTAACTTTTCATAGCTCTTCTTCAAAGCTGTAAATTTTTCTTGTATTTGTTCAATATTTTTCGTAAATGTCATGTTTTTGCCCTCTACCAAATCATACTTGCTTTCTTTTATTTTGGAATGTAACAACAAAATTTCCTCATATTCCATGCACAGAAGATCATAGTTTATCGCCTTTGCCTGCGATAAATACTCGCTTCTCTTGTAAGCATTCTCAATTCTGGACAGAATGAGATGGAACAGTTTTCTATTCTCGTCTTGGATAAATTCGTTCAAGTTATCGATAAGAAAGCCTTCTATTGCACACTTACTTAAGATATTTGCAACAAACAACGACACATTCACAAATTCTGCGAGGAATTCGTCGACCATAATGTAAGAAATAACGTTTTCTAAGATATCGATCATGTTCATAAGCTCGGTTCTGCTCAGGATATAGCTCAATAGAATGCAATTCAAGCACTCATAGAACGTGCCGATATCAGATATCACGACCTTGTAGAACATTTCCGCTCGGCCAAGATCCTCACCTTCTTTAATCTGTGCGATTTCATTTTCTGTGGGAAAGTACGTGAGAATCTGCTTCACTACGTTCTCATCAACCATTTCCAGGTTCATAATCTTCTTGATGAATGTTTCATCTGCATCTTTTACGCGTCCAAGTGCAATCGAAAGGGCGTAACTTTTTTTCATCGGAAAGATGCCCTTGTTTGTCTCCTTAGTTTCGTTACAAATCTTCACCTTTTCCATTTTTCTTATGAATGGTACAAAATCGTCCTCTGTAAACTTCTTCATTAATTCCTCTTCATCGTATTTTTTGAATATTTCACACTTGTTTCGTTCCAAACGCAATACCTTGTAATTTTTAGAACGCCACTTTACGATTTCAGGGTTGGTCTTTTTGACCGTAGCCCTGCCCGGGGGTCTTCGAGGCGGTTTTTTTGAAATTTTTAGTGATTTTGCCGTCTTGCCATCCTCACCGACCTTCTTTACATCTATACTATTCGAAATAGGTAAAGTATCATCCATTTTCTTGGTCAGCTCCTCTACGTCTGTTTTGTTTTTACTGACAATTTCGCTTTTGATTGCAGTTTTGTTGTTCGTGTTTCGTGATTGATCAGCATCTGCTGAACAAGCAGTTTCTAAAGTATGCTTGTCCACATTTTTGTCAGATGTAGTAGTCCGCTTGCCAACCATTTCCGTGTTTAATGCGTCTTTCACTTCGTAATTATCCTTCACACTGCTCAATATTTGGCCATCAATTCTTCCTCTTTCACCACTAACCCGTATATACTCATTTTTGTTCCTTTCGATCTCTTTGAGTTCTACCGCTAACCTGACAGACTGATCGGCCAGGTACTTCTTTATCTCCCGCTTTACATTTTCTAAAAAATTTTCCTCACTAAAATCACAAAAATTTAGTGCACCATCCAAGAACTTCGTGTATTCGTGACTGTGTACCACAGCGGTGCCCTTCAAGCTATCAATCATCGATCTGTCCTTTACTTTCGGTGTTATGAGTCCTAAAAAGTTCAGTGACAACAACAAATGATCAACAAACGGGTCATTTATCAGATACGGCAAGAAATTTAGCTCATTGTTAATTTCACTCTTAGCCATTATGTGTTTAAGAATGTGACTCAGCACACTGTTACTCACACAACACTTCGATTTCAGCACTTCGATTTTGATTCGCAACGCATCTGATTTTGCACACATCTCCAGCCATTCAAAAAACAAATTGTGTGCCGATCCAAACTCTTTCATACGCACGTTTTTCATAAACACATGCATAAGAACGCTTTCATACAGCTTATCGGGGAATGATACACCGCTTTTCTGGAATAAAATGATGAGTTCAAAATATTCAGGTACAGAAACACCTCGTGCAAGCGCATCGCACAAGAAGTTGGCGGCATTCAGCATCTTCATGTGTTCTAATCCCGCTTCAAATGTTTTTTTTACACAGTAAAACGCTTCTGTACACGTTTCATTCTTGAGCTGCCCAAAGAAATCAATGAACATCAGAGTTTTGGCCTTTCGCTTGCTTACGCTCAAAATCATCTTCATTTTCTTTTCTATAGGCAAGTTTGCAATAAAATACTGCATTTGTACCGGGTCCAGTCCCACCTCATTCATAATTATCTGGAAGTGCGTGTCAATTTTATCTCTGAAGTTGGCCATCGCAAAGGGCAGAACAGGGCAAAACCAGTTTTAAAAGAAAATGATGGGCGGGATGGGTACAATTAGCACGTCATGCAGACGTATCGAAATAGAAGAACGTGGCGGAATGATCATTGGTATGATCAGAAACCAATGTAGCTTGGTGTGCTGGGAGACAGGCATCAGCGGAATTGTCTATTGGTAGTAGGTTATACAATTTTGGTCTACGTTCATTTACCTGATCGGGTACTTTTTTCTGACTAGTTCATTACTTCTTATGGGCGAGCTTACCTATCACAGCGATTGATATTCTCTGTTGTACCGTAATTTTATCGTTTTTTGGCTGTACTTTGTATTGGAGGAACAAAAAATTACAAATTTGATTCATCCTAACAAAAGTTTTGGAACTGCAAGGAAAAAAATGCTGTAAGACGATTATGACTGGAAAAAAGGGATAGAATGCCATTATATGGTTGCATTAGATGATATTAGGGTAATAAATAATGACTTCAAAATCTAATTTTTCTCTATACAAGATGTTTTGATTGATATACTACATCTTCAACATCCCGACAATCAACTGTTTTGACATCTCCACGTTTACTAAGACCCTATCGGCATTTAATCCATGGTTTAAATTTACTTGTTACCAGATACATCACACGGCCACGGCTTAAATTTTACATTATCAACCAATGACCCAGCTATAAAAGGGATAAATTAACATTGCGTGCAATATCTAGTCAAGATCAATTGAACCTGTTATAAAAGATAATTATCAGATTCAAATATTCATCTCTGTCGGGTATTTATGGTAGAACATGCTAAAATACTTAAAGCTGCTTTTACCATGTTATGACACAGTTTAAACAATATAACGGGATAGAAACTACTGGTAATAGTTGTAAATAAAAACACTTGTCCATCAAATTTACATTTTTTGATGAACATGAACAGCTAGCTCACAATCACAGTAAATGCTTTTTTACATTTCTTTGTCGCACCTAGAGATATTTACAATGCAAAGGTTTAAACGAGCAAAATCGGATGAAGTGCAGCATCATTGGTAGGTTTGATACCGTGACAGGAAAAACCTGTATTGAAACAAAAAAAGAGCATGCCAAGGCAACATTTAACTATTCATTATAGCTATCCAACTTGCTTTCATCCTCACTGTCATCACTCACTTCATCTTCCACTTCTTTGTTTTCTTTCCTCTTACTCAAGGGCACATATTCTTTAAGCTCCTCGGTACCTTTCTCCTCTATAATCCTCTGCAATTGTGGATGTGTAAGCCCAAAAAACTCCTCCATGTTGCTGTACTCGCTCACACCATCAAAGTCCTTCACAAAATCGTTCCAACACTCCCGTCCCACCCATTTCTTATAATCGCACGATATTTCGAACACGTCTTTGTTGTCGTGTATCTTACATAGGTAAAATATTTTGTCTTTAGATTTTGATGGACACCCGTTGTATTTCTTGTACTTCCGCTTTGATACGAAGTTAATCGGGTATATGGTAGTAGGCGTGATATATTGCTTTTGGGACGGCCTAGGCAGCTCGCCAACGTTCAGCACCGACATCCTGTACAAAGAACTGCCCAGTATTATTGGTTGGTGTGCTATTTTCTTAGCGGGTTGCTGGACGTTGCTGTGTAAGATATGTGTGAGTATTCCCTCTCGCTTTACACGTTCTTTTAGTTTGTTGTACGCGGTCTCTTTCTTTATGTGCAGTTCCTCCTTTTCTTTAAGTAATTTCTGCAGCTCAGGTGAAAAGAGCATGGGGTGCTACTGTAACCACGATATACAGAACTATAATTACGTTTCGCTAAAATTCTCACCCATCACGGTAATATTAGATCGGAAAATATGTTAATTTATTCGGATGATGTTGCGTACGAGGTATAAATGCATTTCTGGGAACAAAGTCAATGCTAGCACATTGTCGTGTTCTACTATTAGTAACAAACTTGCAGAAAACCTAAGTTGCAGAAGCAAAGCTGCCATGAAGAGTGAAATACGATCATTTATACACAACATCGGAGCCATCAACCAACACACTCGAAAGTCCTAGAAAGTTCCCAAGAAAAGCACTGGTACAAAAGCCAATGAGTTTGGGAAGATAATAGATGTATTTCTGACAGAAAACGCTAAATAACCATTCATTAGAAAGATTTTAATAAAAGCGCCAGTGCGGCGAGGCTACTGCAGTGTTTTCTTCGAATAGCGTGTGGTCTACTTGAACCACTCAAATATGTCATTCTCATCCCAACGATATTTTCTACGAGCTAAGCCGGACAATTCACCATTGTTCATCACCAAATATAATAAAGCATCCACGTTCTCGCAGTTCAACTGTATATAGGATTAATACGAGTATTGTATTTTAAAAAGTGTTTATACTCAAAAAACTCCATAAAATACGAATTTGTACCGCTAAAAATTTAGAATGTTAAAATATACTCGAATATTAGCAATTTCCACGCTACAATTTAATTACATCCAGCTCACAGCTCAATTATGACTTATCTTGATCAGGGATAGCCTCCTTCTCTCTCAACCCGGTGCTACTTAGTCTCACATTCTCATATTCTATCACGGGTGTGACTATAATGTCCATCATCTTCTTATCAACATCCATTCTTCTAAAGTTAATCTCACACGCTCTTACAAAACTTTCTGTCGACACAACAATGCATTCATAGTCATCTTTCAGGCATTTTCCAACGCTGTCATTAAGCTCGTTGAGCGTAACACGAGCGTTTGACATTACACGGCACAGAAAAAGCAACTTGTTCTTTCTTATGTCGTATGATTCGATAATAGCGTTGTGCTTTTTGTTTGTGTGCAATCTTTTGGTGGTCAAACCAATTGTAAGCTCATCTGAAGCTAAGAGCAGGGCTGTGGTCAGCAGGAGGATGTGACCTTCATGGAACCGATCAAATGTACCACCTAAGACAACCGTATGATATTTTTTTTTGTTGCTCGGTGGTACAAAAAAGTGCTTGTTCATCAGCCGGTACTCCACCATGATGTTATCGCCGCCTGTATATTCATGCTCTTTCGATTTTACGTGTCCTGCCATTTCACTATTAATGTCTCTCGAAGAATTGTTAGGTGATCTTAACGCTTCGCCTTGCACGTCATGTTCATCACAAACAGATTTTTCATCATAGCATCTCAGCCTTAGCACGTTTTCCTGATCACCTACCATCATTTCATCACATGCCTTCCAATCTTCAATACAATGGTTCTTGATGTGTTCCGGTACCGCAACATTTTTGTTCTCTGTTGTTCCGGTATGTGATGTGCCGCACGTCATTTTTATATTTCTGTTATTGCTCAAGGTGCTACCACAGTAGGCCATATTACCACTATTCTCGTTTCCACTGTCATCAGCACGTTTATTACCATAAAAACACTTTAAATCGCTTTTTCTATCACAACAATATGAATTGTTCCTTATCATCGCATCCTTATCACTCAACTCATTCTTACGGCTCCATTCCCACACATCACCTGTATTGCTGGCTATCACATTCTTCAGTCCATCAAAACATTCCATGCATTTGCAACTATCCCATTCCATCATCTGCAACGTATCCTGTTCGTTTACGGTGCCAAACACAAAAATTACTACACCAGTCAATCCGTAGAACATCTTAATCTGATGTATAACCTGGTAATACCTCCGTATAAAGGTGTGGTGATTACATTCAAAGCATATCTGCACAAAAGTTAACGTATTGCTGTGCAAAATGTGACAGATTAGTGATAAAATGTCTTCTTTTCTGTTGAGTTGTACGATTTTTTTTATGTACGCCATTTTGACGGGGCTAATCCTTGGTGAGTGTTAAAACCTCAAAATGACACACATCTCGATCCTTCAGTTTTACAGCATTGGTGACAAACCGTTATTTTGAACACGTGAAATTACCACCGTATCCTACGAATAGAAATACTGCAATTGTTGAGCTTGTTTAATTAAATGACCCTGTAATCAATCAGGAAACACACGAACACAGATCAGGCTCTTTCTATATTTCATTGTTTTGCCAGTAAAGAAATCTCTTACGAAGACATTTCTATCTTGACAAAGTTTTTGTACCGTGTTATTACGCTAGCTTCGGGTCTGCACTACGATTTCTACATCAAAATAAAGAAAAAACGAACTGCTGCGCAGGCCGACATTCCTTCACACAGTGAAATAATACGGAATAGCCACCTGTAACTTAACCTTTAAATGTTGCAATCATCCATAACCATTGGCCATTCGCATACCAAAGTTACCTTGAAACAACACAAGAATTCGCAAAAAAATGCTTTATTGATATTCGTATATTATTATTTCGCAGTTTATTATACCAATCTGTACTTCTTCATCAGCAAATCTCTGGCTTCATTGATCTTGGCCGACAGAAACGGTGATCCTCCCATATCTGGGTGATGGAGCCTCAACAAGTTTTTGTGTGCGGCAGAAATGTCTATATATCGTTTAGATGGTGTATTTAGGATGAGATGAGCCTCTTCTAGCGACATTCTTGGTTTGAATCCTTCTTTTCTTCGTAAAAGTCTTTGCAGCATCAAAGGGCACCTAAAATGAGCTCATAACACGGGTATGGTCGAAATGGTAGCAAGAAAGAGCTATGAAAATACAATGTGACATTCTGAAGTGTACTATGATGAGTTTTCTGATCAATAGGCATTCACAACGATGATAAATACAGAATTGCATCATAATAACGAGGAGCATGACATAAAATACTGTGTGAATTGATGGTAGTTTTACTACTGTTCCACTGATTGTGCGTAAATACATGGCTGAGAAGATGAAACATGATGTGAATTCTACGAAACAACAATGATGAACTTATAAAATCTGAATATATTTCAGCCGGATCAGTAGACTCGCACACCATTTTGATGCCATAATGTATTTTTCTCCTGGAAATTTCTTTATTTTGTTTCTTAATTTTTATCCCATGAAGAAGCTTAGTGTCGACGAGATCATAAATGCCAAGGATCTCAAAGCCTTGCTCAGAGAACGCATCGAGATATTACAAAAAAATAATATAAAAAGAGATATTGAGAATATTAAACCAGATATTAGGGATTTTAGACCATTATCGGTATCAGATGATGAAGATGTAAATGAAAACAGCGAGTTTCTGAACGAATTAAGGGAAAATTACCGCTTCAGCTATTTTGAGAGTGACGCGAGGAATTATTTTGGATAATGTGCATTCACTCTGACATGGCAGAATGCGTAAAAAGAGCATAAAAAATGATTTTTCTGACCAATGAAAGCTATGCCTGGCGACATAGGAGATCGGACGAAAGGTTATACAACAGGACATTTTGAATTAGAGACACATTTATGATGTGTTATCTATAGCAAGATCATTTGCTTAGTGTTGGGTTGTTTCTTACTATTATTGTACTTATGATATGTTTTGAAAATGTTCTATTATAAATGAAATCATGAACATGTTTACTCATTGATAAACATCATCATCGCTCATTTATCGTACAAATAAAAAGACAACTCAAACAACGGTTCGTTGTATCTAGTTTTAAGTCGCATTTTTCTGCAACATAAAGAGTTATAAGCTGTTATTCAGTTTATTATTTCCATAACATGCTCAGATATTTTTTATAAGCAACATTATTTTTATAAGCAACATTAAAAAGACGTAAACACTGAACAAATTTGGTTCTTGATATTTTTACCAAAAACCTTTCTCTTTTTTTCCTCACAAAAAAATTTGAGCTATGACAAAAACATGTGAGTGTCTAATATCTTCTAATATAATTTATCAGCGTCCTTTTACCTACGAATGTTCATTTAGCCTTTTGTTTTCAGAATTTTTTTTATTACCTTTTTTTCATCATGGTTGAGAGGAAGAATATTTTGTAATTTCCGGAATAGAAGAGTACACATAAAACAATCCTACGCGCCTCATAATCAGAATGTTGTTAATAACAATTTCTTAAAAATTAATTTATCCGCAATGGCTGATTACAGATATTATAAAGTGTTCCTTTTCGTCTATATTGAAATTTCAACTCGATACAGGGATTATTTTCGGCTGTATCATCATTTCTAGCATCAAAGGATGCATTTTATATTTTTTATTCGGTTCTTCATCGTAAATTTAATGCTCTAACACAAACTTGGTACAAAAAAATCATCTATTGTGTGCACTCACTTATCTCTAAGACGAAATTAAGCGCTCATAAATGCCTGAACATTCCAATTTGATGTTCACTATCCGTCTCTAAATTTTTTCAAAAACTAATTATATTCATACTAGGTGCGCTTTTTTCGTTTATAAAACGGTAAAAACTGTTCTTTCCATTCAATGATACTTTCTTCCTTTCATATGTCGTATTATGTTTTTTCTATTGTTTAAGATTTTATGGTAGGAGCAAATTAATTAGCTACTATTCGGTAATCGTGTAATTTTGATGTTGTTAGTGGAGAAAAATTGAGGGCGTTTCAGAAAGAATGAGTTGTACGACAACTTTAGGCCCTTTATTCAGTGCAAATACATGAAACAAAATCTTTTATTTTTCTCGAAGGGGCAAATAATATATTTCATAGAACTGACCAATCATATTTCGTGTTGTCTTTTTATTTATATGAAAAATACGGGAAGTCTATCAAAATTCAAATAAGCGGCGAATATAAAACGAACAATTTCTATGTGTTTCAAACAATCAAACATTTATTCATTTGTGGGGTTATAGTCAATAAAGACAAAAAATTTTATCTACACAAAGATTTACAAATAATTTTTATTACCAAGTCAGAAGGAGCTTTTGATCTAGCAAATATGTTTAATATTGGAATATTGACATTAAAAAGTGCAGATGCAGTGAAAATGGACATTACGAGTGACCAGAAATCGCAAATTGAACTAAAAAATCTCGATCTTGAAAAGCAATTCATTGCAGCAAAAAATACAAAAGAAATCGTTTTCGATCGCGTAACGATGAAAAATACCGCGATAGCTACTATTAATCCCTGCTGTCAGTCGATATTTATCGAAAAAACAACCTGCTTGATCAATTTTCTCAACCTTAAGGGCAAAAAAATGGGTCTATATGTTGGAATGACAGCTATTATGAGTTTACTAAACAGTGCGACAGTGATGACTGGACCTTTTTCCTCAAGAATCTTTGTTTAAGCAAGCAGGTTCATGTGTCGAACAATTTTCGTTCTGTTGTCTTGTGTGAGGTTGAAGGAGTTGATCTTTTCCCAATCAGAGTGAACGAAAATTGCCAACATTTGCGAATTGAGTGTTTCTCAGTTATTGTAATTTGTCCATCTTTGTGCAAATTAGACACACTTTCTGTTTCTTTTTGCGTTCATAATATGATGGAAATTCATTTTCAGGAAATGAGACCTATAACATTCAAAATTTGTTATGTATTTGACAGTGAGAAATCCATCTGCATTATTTTAAATTCAATACATCTATAAAAATTTATGTTTTGGAAAAATCATTTTTATCTGGACGAAGAAGATTTGCAAAATTTTAATATGAATAAATCATTTGTATCGCAGCCAACCGAATTTGATATCAATCCACAAAATGTTAGTACACCGTGTGAAGCTGAAATTGCGTATGTAACGATCTTGCTTGAAGAGCACTTTAGAGATAATGCATCGGATTGTAAGAGGCTCGCTACTCAGATTATTGAACGAATCGATATACGCTTTATAGCTTATAAGTAAATGTCTGGGAATTACATATGGTCATGTAAAAAAAATTAGGCCTTACGGTTATGAACCATTGTTTTTATGTCGTTGAATGCCAACTCATCAATCGAATTTAGTTCAAAGTTCCCGTTATTAAATAAGTCCCCTTTTTAACACCCTGAAAGATGTGATGTCCCATGGCTGCTATTGCAGGAAAGCATCCTACGAGGAGCTGTGCACTGACCGTGTAATCGTATGGGCAGCAAAGTTACGAACGCACGTTTAATACGTAAAATTAACGATTATTTCACACACTACGTTCATCAATGAATAGATAGCTATTCAAGATATGCAAATAATGTTCTGTTTGATCATAGCATTTGCAAGTTGAGCGTGGCACGGTGAGCTGTAATAATCGGTATCACATGACTTAAAGTAAAAATATTATTCCTGAATGGATCGAATCTTTTATATATTGAGCCTGCGTCAGATTAGTGCGACTGAGAAGTGTTTAAACGTTTTCTTTGGCACGTTTCAAGGCATGTTTTAGATGGTATAAAAGGATGCATTCCACATTTTTATAGTGGTCCACATATCTCAATAGTTTTTAATAATTGTTATTCCTCGCTTAATCCACCTTTTTGCCCTGGAAATTGCGCAAACTCTCGTTTTTTCTGATGTTTTATTCCTAATTGAAACGGTTGCAGAGAAAAGTATTTTTTGATCGCACCCTGGGGAGGTTAAAACATAATGACCAGTTTATTCCAAGCAAAACTGAACAATGCCATCACGAAGATAAACGATCTTATGTTTGTGGACCAGTCCATTCAGACAAACGTGCGAACGCTGTCGTTCAAATACGTAGAAAAAATAGGCAAGGGAACGTTTGGTTTCGTGGTGAAAATTGAGGAGAATGAGAATGGCAATATTTTTGCCCTTAAAACGGTCTATGAAGACAACAAACACTACTACCGAGAGAAAGAGATCCTAGAAAATCTGAAGAACAGACATTTTGTGCGGTTGTTCGAGTATGCATACTTTGAGGAGAGCACCGAGGGGCGATACGTGCAATTGGTGTTGGAATATCTTCCCTTCTCGCTGCGCAACTTGATTGTTTCTGATCGGTTCGACTTTTTGAAGAAATTTTACGAAGAAAAAGAAAATTTCAGGGACGAGATGGTAAAGGATTTTCTGAGACAGGGATTTGAGGGTCTGAGCTATCTGCACTCGTTCGATATTGCACATCGCGATATAAAGCCTGCGAACATCCTGATTGATTACGACGGGACACTGAAATTTTGTGATTTGGGAAGCGCTAAGAAGCTTGAAACTAAGTCCAACACGACGTACATATGCTCAAGATATTACCGAGCACCTGAAAATATTATCGGGTTAAAAAACTACAGCACAAAAATTGATATTTGGTCTTTTGCACTTTCTATCGCGGAGATCATTACGAAGAAGGTTATTTTCAGGGGGCAATCCAACGTAAATCAGCTAGAAAAGATACTAAGTCTGCTCAAAATATCACAGAAAGATCTTTTGTTTATGAAATTGCGTAGAAACAAACGCGAAACAATGGGTATAAAGAAATACATGAGGAGGTACACAAACAATAAGAGGCTTGTTGAGGTGTTTGATAAGACGATAAAGTTCAATTCTAACAAACGAAGGAATGCAAAGCAGGCATTGGAGATGGAGTTGTTTAAAAAACCGCGAGAATAGTGTTGTTATTGTATAAAATCATATATTTATAGCTCACGTGGTCGTCAAAATGTGGTAAAATCATTTTGTTATTCAATATAAGTATCAATGTTAAATTTACCTATTTATCTCACATCGGCTGAAACGACAGGTATTTTTGGTTGTTCACTACGTGCCTGAGCGCGCGTAATGGACATATTTGCGGGATATTGAAAAAATCCATGCAATATATAGCATAGCTCATCACATTAGATAAATCATGATGGATGCAAAACGCGTTTTGGGGTTGCAGTGCAAAGCTATTTCTACGCCTCGTAAAACTCAATGGCTGTGTGTAAAGGTAGAAGAGTACTATCGAGGATTATTCTCGCTGAATAATACGGTCAAAAACGGTACTTGGTGTATGGACAAAAGCAAATCATGCGTGAAGATGGCAGAACAAACGTATTTGTTTTTTAAACTTCCTCTTTTCAAAAAAAGCACGCACTTAAAAATTGTACGTTTTATCCACAAATCTCTTAAATATGTTTGTAATGCGGTTAATGCCTACTGGTTTGCTCAGCCCTGTATTTTGAGGCAAATTTACTATCCACACAAAGATTGCATCGCTCTGATCGATTCATCTCCAGTACCAAAAAATAAACATATGTTTCTTGTCTTAAACCGATACGTAAAATCAAAAACACAAATTATTTTACAACCTTTCTCTGTTTGAGTACTTGAACCAAAATTTATTCGACAGTCACACTCTTCGCTAAGTTCCTAGGGCAATCTACATCATATCCTTTAATTACTGCCAGATGATAAGAAAGCAATTGCATAGGAATAACTGTCAAAAGACCCTGCAAGCAATCCACGGTAGTGGGAATACCCACTGCCATGCAGCCCATCTTCTTAAACCGGTCTACCAATTCGTTATTTGTGATGATGATCGGCTTTCCCCTACGTGCCATCAACTCACTCACAGCATTCTCACTTTTCTTAAGTACGTGGTCATTTGTGATGATCATGATGACAAGTGTCTCGGGCTCAATGAGTGCGATCGGACCATGCTTTAGTTCACCGGTCAGAATGCCCTCTGCATGCATGTAGGCCACCTCCTTGATCTTCAGCGCTGCTTCGAGACACAGTGCGTGTTGATACCCACGACCTAATATGAGCATATCAGACTTGTCTCGTATTTTTTGTGCCAATCCCTTAATATATTCATCGATCTCCAGCGTTTTTTTTATCAGTCCGCTTATGTTCCGCAGTCCATCTACAATTTCTTTTCGTCTCTTCTCATGTTTCAAGTTATCATTGGAGAGAACCAATGCGATCATGACGAGGACAATGAACTGTGATGAGTACGCCTTTGTGCTTGCCACTCCGATTTCTGGTCCGCAGTTAACATGCACACCACACTCCGTCTCTCGGCAGATTGTGCTTCCGACGGTGTTCGTGATGCCCACACACAGCGCCTGCTTGCTCTTGCAGTACATCAGTGCGTTTAGCGTATCAGCTGTCTCGCCCGACTGCGAAATGAAGAAAACACAATCTGATCGGAAGATGGGGCACTGGCGATCTAAAAAATTGCTGGCTATCTCGATGCTGACTGGGATGTCTATTAATTCCTCAAAAAGCGATTGTGTCGCCATTGCGGTATGATAGGACGTACCGCATGCAATAAAAATCAATCTGCTGCTCCTTTTTATGTTCTCAATATACGAATTTAAACCACCCAGTTTGATTCGGTACCAATTTTCCCTCTCAACATTCTGAACATCCTGAAGACTGCTCATCTTCTTCTCATTCTCTCCTATTGTACAGCTAAGCTGCAGCCTTCCCCTCATAGTGTTGACAACCGATTCACTCTGCTCGTATATTTCCTTCAACATAAAATGCGGAAATTTTCCCTTCATGATGTTTTCCAGCTCCATTTCTAATGTGTTTATAAACCTTTTACTCTCCGTCTTTATATCGCTAAATCTGTGTATTTCCAGCTTTCCGTCTTTTATCCGCACAATATCACAGTCCTCCAGGTAGATCACCTTTTTGGTGTGTTCAATTATTGCCGATGTGTCCGATGCTAGGAAGTATTCGATCTGCTCGTTATCCTTGACCTTTATTTTCAGGGATGTCGGTGATGTTCTCAGGTCCTCTGTCTGGCACTCCGTAAAATTACTGCCTTCCTCAGCATTGAAAACGCCCGTGTTGTTGTATGATGGACTGATCGATAGCGTTGTTCCGTTGCGATTGATAACATCGCTTGAAATACTGTGGCCGGACAGACTTGTATCATCTGAGCGGCTGTTCTCCTCTGTGAACCTGTAAATTTTTTCTACTCGCTCCTCGACATTGTCCATGTTTCGAACGCTATCAACCGAACTTTCGTCGAAGTGCACGTTGAACGAGTCCATGGACAAGCTTGAACTGCTCTTTACACCGATCAACAAAGGACTGCTTTTGCGGACCGCAATCATTTCGTTCGGGAAGTGTGATGACACGAAGATGAATGAAAAAGCACCATCGCAGCACCGAACAACGTTCTTAATAATGCTCATGAACGATACGTTTTTGTTCCTTTCGTAGAAATAGAGCGCCAGCTTTGCGGCTGTCTCCGTGTCAGTGTCCGTATAAAACTGGTAATTCCTTTTTTTCAAAAATTCGTTAAGTTCCTTGTAATTTGTGATTATCCCATTGTGTACCACCACGAACTCATTGCTTTGACCCGAACTAATCGGATGGCAGTTCTTTTCACACGGAAACCCGTGTGTGGCCCACCGCGTGTGTGCAATACTTACCGATGACTCCAACTTATCCTGCGTAAGAACATTTATTGCTTTTACAAGCTCTTCCACCTTTCCTGTCTTTTTGATAATTGTGAAACCATCATTGCTCCGAACACACAGCCCTGCAGAATCGTAGCCTCTATATTCCATTCTTTTAAGACCATTTATAAGGATTTGCCCAATTTCTTCCTGTGTGCGAGGTATTTTATGGTTAACATACGCCGTAATACCACACATAAGACCTCTGTTTCGTTGAGTTATATATATTTTTTTCTGGTGATTTGAAACAAATCAAATAATAGTTATACAAAGGAAATGAATTTATCACTCTGTGTTATGATTTGTTTTGTTACCGATGACCTTTCAAAAATGCTTGGATGTATAATACGTACAATATTTCTTTAATGAGCAAACAGCCCGATGGCTTATCGCAGGAGGGAAAAAGAAAGAAAAAATGAGGATAAAATCAACGGTCAGTTCATACGATGACCGATAAGAGTCTATTGGACAGACGGCATATCTGTGAGGCATTAGCTGATAGCTATCCAGTGATTTTTCAGCTGTGCAAAAATTCTATTTGTTCGTACATATTTTGGACTAACAACCTGGGAGACCTGCAAAGTAATCAATAAACACAGTTTGTAAATATTTTTATCATTGAGAATGAATAATTGTGACTGAGAGATTAATTACACAAACAAACTGCAAATATTTACATTATAGCCTAATGAGTGCACGTACAATTGGGCTTACAACACATACACGAGCGGATGGTTTAGTGTCACTGTCAATCGGCTATCATTATTTGCGCCTGTTGTAGACTGCTCCCATTTTTAAATCAAAAATCGGGATAGCACACCAATTATTGTAGTTTTGTGACTCATCCAGTAAAATTTTTTATAGCGCAATCTTAGCGATCAGGATATGAACCACAAATTGATACAATGTGAACAGCTAAGTATTTGATTAATGAAACATATCTGTTTATGTAACTTTGCCTCAAATCCATCAGCGTTTCAGCGTAATTAACGTGATCATATGATAAAAAGTTTAATTTTTTGCGGTTAGAAAAAAGTGTGGGTCCCTGCACAAAGGCGCAGCATCAATTATATCAATGATAACTGTTCGAACTTTTTGCTGCGTATTGTCGATCACTTGTATCCACCAAGAAAACGTGACGGTTCATGATGATAATAAACGCGATGTGGTATAAAAAGTTACAACCAGCGAATCTGATATACAAGCTAAATTAAATTTACTAATTACTTAAATTGTGGTGTTGATAGCGCAGAATATCTTTCTATCACGAGTCTGAGGAATAAGACAGTACATCATCAACGATCATGCACGTAGTAGAAGATTCGTGTTTCGGGCCGATAAGAATTAGGGCTGATACCAAGGCCAAGATGTGAATGGACTATGTTGCCGGAAGTATTTTGAACAGTTCTTTACATGTCAACTTAATTCTGTATTGCATTCGGTATTCGATTGGTACTTAGGTTGTGACGAATTATCGCGTGGGATATACCATCGTACTCTGCACACAGACACCATTTATCATTCCATTTTGCGTGAACTACCATTAAGTGTTGATATATTCTCGGTTATTTGACTTGAATAGTACCAAAAAATCTTAATTTGCAAAACGAGCTCCAAAAATTGTAGAAGAGTAAAGCTTTAAATGTAATGGTAAAATAAAAAACTGCCGCAGTATTCTGCTCTGTGAACAACGTACGTGCTTTATTATATGATTACATACATTAGATGATCATCTTAGCGATACGTTTATTTAGCAAATAGCCTTTGATGAGCGCAAAAGCAGATTTGGTCTGGTTCAGGCCAATGAGAATACAACAATAAATTATATTGCTCAACTTATAAAATACGTTGTGTTGGTATTTGTACGAAATATTTATAAAATCCTTTCAAGAACTATCTGTGCTTTTATTAGATTGTCAGTTTTGTCCCACATATCATCTAACAAAAAACGAACACATTTATCCTGACAGCAGGGACTATCCATAGCCACTGGGCTACAAAACTGGTACCTAACTGCGAGACAGAAAAGAACAGCTTGATAATGAGTACGACTTCCTCTCCTTGCAACATATAAAATGGTAACAATTAGCTGTGTGATTTGAAGATCATTCAGGCCCATGTTCTGAGACGCGCCATGAGATAGCCAGTCATGGGGCAGCAACAAACACTTTGCAAATAGAATGGCCGCTCTAGCAGTTTCTGAAACAATTAATATCACGTTATTTATTTACGATCACATGAAATGATTGTAAATAAATTTACTCATCACCAAGGTAACCTTCCGTGTTACGTGTGGACCGCGCTTATTCCCCATTGTATTCTGTTTACAATTCAAGCAGCGATAAACCTTGTTTAGACGAGTAAACTGCATCAATCGTTCTAAAAGATGTCTTTGGTTTGGTCACCAAGCCGAGTTGATAGCCACCTCGAACTACGACTCTCAAACAATTTTGGTTATCCTATCAGCATTTCAAGCGCCTTTGCAAGTCCCCAACTCAGATTCTTATCGTCTATCATTCGTCCAATCTCAACTACAGCGCTGTTCTTCAGCCCTATCCCCTTAAGCACCAGTATCATGTACTCCAGATCGTCGCAATTCTTGCTTGGTTCTGCGCAATGTGTCCTATAAATACTGATAATGTCTGAAAATTTGTGTATTGGCCGGTATTCAGACAGTCTGTCGTAAAAAAAGGAGAGCAAATAAAATTTATGGACAGAATCAAGCGGCGCAATACGCGAGAACTCATGGAGATTGAAGTGTGTTCGGAAGTAACGAACGCATTTTTTGTTCAAGTCTTTGCAATGATCCAGAACATTTAGCGAATGCAGCTTGTTTCGTCCTTTGATGAGTCCTAGATCGTGGAAGGAGTGTATGAACAGTTGGTATTTGTTGTTGATGTTGGTGCTGAAAGCTATTTGCATGCTCCCTCCTCCCATTTCTATGATACCGAGTGATAGTTTATTAGCTGCAATGTGCTTATGGAGAACAGTATGCTGCTCGGCTTGCCCATTATTTTTGGCTTTTGCCAAGTTTTTTTTGTTGCTTTGTGTCTTCAGGTATGTGATCGTATCAAATTCGCTTTCATCTGTGCTTTTTAATCCTCCAGCCTCGTTTGTTGGTACTTTTCTCTCATTTGCTCCTTTGAAAGAATGCTGGCCCCGTGTTATCCTGTCACTCATTTTGATATTGTTTACTTCTCGTGTTCCATTCTTCCTATTCGGCTTCATTTCAGCTGTTGTTCTGTTTTTTTGCCATTTGTTTGAATTTTCTGTTTCATTACTCGTGCTCATTACGCTACTGTTCATCAATATCTTGCCATCCGCGTTATCTTCCTTACCTTTCATCCCATCATTTATTCCACTCCCCACATCATAGCTACCTATATCGTACCTGTTTGCCATCTGTCTCTGCAGTACATTCTTGTTATCTCTCAAAAACAGCAAGTAAACCAACGCCTCATACGCATACAACCCCTCAAACACACCATCCATCACACTCACAGGATTTCTTCCGCCAACGAACCCACTCCTATCGATAAGTGTCCTAATACATCCCAAAATCTCATCAACATTCCTCTTTTCCAGGCTTCTAAGTCCCTCCGTGGCCACAAGTGCGATCCGAGTTGAGCACACAACACCCCCATTCTCTACAACAAACTTGTGCGCATCGTCCAGCATGCGCTCAATCATCTCTTTGATTTCGTGCAGTTCTAACTCGTGCATACCAGGATGATAGAATTTTGTATAGGAGGATACGATGATCATATCACTGAACGTGTAAATGTTTAGTTTTGTGCTCGTAAAGCCTGCATCCAATATCACAACAAACTCCTTAGCAAGGATGAATGGAATGAGCAAAAGCATTCTGTTGCTTTGTTTTTCGTGTTGTTTTAGTGTATGATGAAACATTTTTTTTGGTTTGAGTGGTGATCAATTCTGTGAACGAAGACATAACATGCAATGTCAATCAGAACCGTGCAAATGTACGTGTCTTGCTCTTTACGGCCGATTTATAGGTTAATTTTTCATACCAACCGTTTCAAATGAAGCCTGGTTGTGTGCCATCCCCTAATCGAATCTTTGCGAAGAGGCGCACACTTTCATGAACCAAATAAATCGGGTAGATGCTAACTCGCCAGGCCAATCGTGATCTGTAGTATTGCGAAGAGCGCGTAGTATCGTTTAATCAATGTTATTTCCAGAAAAAAAGCGAGAAACACACTCTGCTCATTACAACTGATCATCATCAGGCCGTGTTTCTAATGCATGTTTGTCATAAATACATGAGCACAACATCACGAACGTGTCTGAGACCAGCGTGCGATATGCCTTAAGTTCTAAATTTAGTTTAGGTAACGTAATTTAGAACGTATGCCAAGGATACATTGAGAAGACAGCCTGAAAGTATGGCAAGCTAAGTTAAAAACGTATAAACTGCAAATTGTACTCATCGCTGCGTTGATCGTTGGTCATTTTCTTACGAAAGGAGCATTTGTTCATTTTAGGAACCTTCAACCGAAAATGCAAATCCTTACCACGTATAAACAACAAATCGGCAAACCTCCCGTTTAATTAAATAACAGCACAATTGAAATGCATGCTAAGCCTTGGATAGAAATATCCAGTCCAAAACGCTTTTATCCTGTCCTCATTACCGCTCACTACCCCATTCTGTTCCATACGTACCTCAGTTCCACTATCAACTTCCACTAACACGAGTTGCACCTTCGAACACGGCAACAAATCGGGCATCACCACATTAAACGTCATCTTCTCCCTATCCAAATTGGTGAACGAAACATTTTCGATGATCCTTACGCATCTTCTGCTGCTCTTCGGTGCGTATTGCCTGTAAAACGTAGGATCAAACAGATAATTGAGGAGGTCTTCCTTTTTGCACGTAACCGTAACGTTCATCCTAATGGTACGTCCCTGTACACTCTCAGCACATTCATCGTGTTGGTCAGCACGTTCCTCCGTGCCACCACCACAGTTCGATCGACCACCATCCATACACCCAGCTCTATCCAATACCAACTCAGCAGCAGGCATCTCCACCTCAACCTTACCACCAGCAACCATTCCACCATACCTAACCATAGCATCTTTCTTTACACACTCCAACGCCTCCACAAAATCATCACGGCCCGTTCCCTCCACGTCACTAACCGTACTATAATTGTCAAAGTCCCTTACATTCGTGCACATACCGTCTCGAACCATTTTACATGAAATATCGTAGATAAAGCCCACCTCGTTCATACGTACGGTGATGTGCATGGTAAGAACGAGATCAGTAAGATCGTATCCTTTCCGCGATAGCAGTGCTTTTAGCTGTTTGGTGCAGAATGGTGAGATGTCCTCTTCGAGCCAGTGGTAGTTGTTTGCGTTGAAGGATGACATTACCGGTCGGCCTGAGGGAATGAAATTTATAGCGGAGGGTGTTCTAGAAAAGAGACAAAAGCGGTGGTGGCGATGAGTTTTAGGCATTTTTAGAAATGAAATGCTGGGACTGGCGATGAGTTTTAGGCACCTTTGGATTGAAACGGGGATCAAACTGATCGGTAGTTGGTACACGCTGCGTACAAGCAGTTGCACAGATTTTAAAACAAAATGCTCATCTTCTACGAAACGAACACCTTTATAGGAAGAGACTCATACGATAAAAAGTAAATCTGATAAAAACCACGTATTGCAACTGAAAGTACGCGTTTAACACGATCTAATATTATAAAAAGGATAATCGCACCGTATTGCAGTAAAAACCGTAAAGATGAGCAGGACCGGTGCCATAAATTAGGATGATACCCTACGTGAACAGCACCAAACAACGAATGCATCACCGTGCAGCACTTGTTGACGTGTTAGAGCGATCTGAGTGTTAAGGTCTGTCCAAGAGTACCTTAACGGTACGGTGTAGTGATCTGTTCTTAATATGAAGATGAGTGTACCATTCAAACTAGCGCAGTGCCACGATCCGTTGCATTATAACAATAAAATCGTTATTTAGGGAACAACTCCTTAAGTAACGCTGTCAACGCGCAGCTCCTGATTTATTTAATTTGCTTTTTATTTTAGCATTAAGTACAGCACAGCTCTTCCGCACAGCCATTCCCTACCACCTCATAAAGATTTGGAAAACGCATAAACAATGAACATGCACTACTACTTAAAAACTCTCAACATGCATAAACAATGAACAACCAGCCGAACAACATCAGACAGACGAGCATAAACCTGTCAAACCATGAGAGACACGCAGAAGAGCGTGATTACCATGTGCGACCAACCGTATTGGAAGTAAAGCTAAAGTTTACACAGAGGAGTGACCGGTACACGGTAGACTATGAGATATTGAAGGATTTAAATATTTTGAGAATTGATGAGATTGTTATTGCGGTGGATGATGGTGGAGCGTATGGGTGTAGGGTGCTTGTGGTGTATCCTGCCAATTACGGAGATACTTGCGGGGGTACTGGTACAAGGTTTAGTGGGGATGACTATTTCAATGGCAGGCATTATAGCGATAAGGAATGCGATACATATCGTGATAAGTACTGCGATAAACGTGGTGAAAGATACAACAATGCTTTTAATCATGCATATGACAGTAACGATGACCTACCTCTAAACTTCTCAGATAAGGACGTACCCAGATCAAAGAACGAAAACAGCAATAAAATACATTTCTTGGCTGAAGGACAGAACGAGTACAATTACAACAAACAGCTCAAAGATACAAAGCATGATGGTGAACGAATGGCATACAATTCCATATTTCCGTATTACACCGATAAACCAGTGCTAGATATTAATCTGAGGAAGAACAGTGATAATGACGAGAACGTGAACAACGGTAAATAAAGTATATTTATAGCAGACACGGTAGGAAAAGTAAAACGAACCGTGCTTTATCATCTTAAATCTCCTGTTGATTAGGACCGTTCAGATCGCTACCTCTGAAGCGGAATAAATGCCAGGTACAACAGCAATAAAACGCTTAATATGCGATAAAACATCAAATCCATAAAATCAGCTTTACTTCTTGCTCGTCTCCCTTATCTTCTTCTTTGCCCTCAACTTCCTACTAAACCCACACGCTCTCTTCCTACAATGCTCTGCACGCGCACTCAACCGTGCATAACACTTCCTACACACCTGCACATTCAATCGCTTGGCAGCCAACGCCCTATCATCCTCGGAAAGTGCACCACCCAACAATCTACCCTCAGCAATTACGTGTGAAAACGGTGCTACGAAAGGAAAGTTTTGAGGTGTTATTATTGCACCGTTTGTGGTGATTAAACTATCTGGTGCTAGGGATACGAGCTGGTTGTATGTGGGAATGTTTATCACTTCGGTTTTGGTTGATTTTTTAAAAATTATGTTCATTGCTTTTGGGGTACAAAGGAATTTTTTCTTTTTTTTTTTGAACTGGTATTATTGAAGGGTGCTGTGTTAGACAGGGACCGTAATGATACGATGTATCATTTATTACTGTAATAAATAATTATGCAATATATTGTGATTAATAACGGTATTAAGTTAACCATTGCTCATCAAATAAGCAGGAAACATGTACATCTGCCCGTAGCACTGCCTACTTCAATGCAAATGATATACTTCAATAGCAATTGCATTACTACGTGGTACTATCTGTATGATTGATCAATCGCTGTAGAGAACAACCTTACTCCGCTCAAAAATGTACTACGCTATGAAATGATTACTTCTCAGAGCAACGTACAAGATGTTATTTTCTAAGAGTAAGGTACCAATCCGATCGTATACACCTCAAAATGATACTTTCATTCTTTAACGCTCCATCTTGTCATGCCAGTACGCTTCAAGCATATTTTCATTCACGTACCATACGCTATAAATTACGGATGAACGGCTAAACAGTAAGAAAGGTGTGTGCTGCATTTTAAGATGATAAACACTCTGCTAACACGTAACTTTGCTTGCCTTCTACGTGATAATGGTGCTTTACACTGTTTCGTTGTGTTGAACTAGAACAGACATGGTACGGTATAAATACTTTGCTGAGCGTAAAAAGACACGAATAATAATATGATTGGGTAAAAGAACAGAAATGATGGTTTGTTGATGTGTATAGTGTTGTGTATGGTAACGTGTGTGGTGACGTGAAAATGAACAGCTAAACAAAAATAAATGAATAGCGCCCGTTCATGTGTGGTGACGTGAATAAGTTGGTAAAACGGAACGCTTCCTAATAAAGAACATTATTGCCATTTTGACTGTTTCATTCAGAACATGTTATTCACAAAATAATTGATAGATCAATCACATTCTTACCTATGCTATCTTCTGTTTGGCAATAATACCTAAACTTAACTATTTTTCTGGTATTAATCATTGGTTCTTAAAGGATATGCGCGATTATTCGTTAATACGCACAAAATACTGCTATCTAACACTTATTCTCCTGCTCATGAACGTTTAGAATTACTCATCACGTTAATACCGGTCAAGATGTAAAATATGGAATAAGCACGTTACATATCATCAATTCTGGTTATACAATATGAAATGAATGCTGTTACGGCTCGGCATATATACCGTAACTGTTGCAATTCCTAAAGTAATCCAACACTTGTACCGTATCATGTCATCATTCTATCAATTCTTGAGTAAAATGGCTTTGTTGATACTCAGGCAGCACTTCGTTTTTGCACAAATTATTCTCATTCCGTGATCAACTCACGCCACTCATCGAACAGAAAGTAATCTATCTGTTCACATCAACCATCTGATCACTTTATACACTGTCATCGCTCTTTGCCCTCCATATTTCACAACAAAGACTCGTTCCTACAAAAAACTATAAAAGCATCACAAGCCCTATCCCCCATGTCACACCAACCAGAAGAATCTTTGCTAACCGAGCCTAAAAATAAATACACGCTATTCCCTCTCACAAACCAGGATGTATGGCAGATGTACAAACAGGCATTATCATCATTCTGGACAGTGGAAGAAGTTGATCTATCAAAGGATATTGATGATTGGAACCGGTTGAACGGAGATGAGCGCCATTTTATATCGTACGTGCTCGCATTCTTTGCTGCATCGGACGGTATCGTGAACGAGAATCTCTTGGAGAACTTCTCGCGCGAGGTGCAGCTCAAAGAGGCGCGCTGCTTTTACGGCTTTCAGATTATGATCGAGAACGTGCACAGTGAAATGTACTCGTTGCTGATCGATACGTACATTAAGGATCAGGAAGAGAAGGACTTTCTTTTCAATGCGATTGCCAACATCAATACGGTGAAGAGAAAGGCTGAGTGGTGCTTTAAATGGATAAATGATAAAGATTCTGATTTTGCAACACGTGTTATTGCGTTTGCGTGTGTTGAGGGGCTGTTCTTTAGTGGATCGTTCGCATCTATCTTCTGGCTGAAAAAACGCGGTCTTATGCCCGGTCTTACATTCTCTAACGAGTTGATATCACGTGACGAGGGCCTGCATTATCAATTTGCTGTTCTTATGAACAAAACGCTCATCGGCCAATGCCCAAAAGAAAAGGTATTAGAGATTGTGAAGGAGGCAGTGGAAATTGAAGAAGAGTTTGTCTCTGACTCTTTGCCTGTGTCACTGATCGGTATGAACTGCAAGTTGATGTGCCAGTACATTGAATTCGTTGCGGATGGAATACTTGTTGATTTGGGCATTGGACGTGTGTACAACGTAACGAATCCGTTTGATTTCATGGAGAATATTTCGCTGTTTGGGAAGACGAATTTCTTTGAGAAGAGGGTTGCTGAGTACCAGAAAGGATACGTAGGAATTGAAAATGAACAGACTTTTAAGACGGACGAGGACTTTTAAGAACAGTAAAGGTTCCATCTTAAGTTATTTTGGTGTTGTTTACGATTTTCATCGCTATTTTCTTGTTATTTTCCATCCTTTCTATTCTTTTTCCCTTTTTGCCAGTCCTACTTTCTTGTCATTTATGCCCTTTTGACACAAGTCCAATCGCTCATCTATGTACTTCCCTCTATGTACATTGTTCAGAAACATTCTTCCCATTATTACCGCTATTCTCTTTTCAACATCTTCCCTATACACAGCCATCCAACCTTCCTCTAACCCCATCCAGTATAACAAATCGATCATCCATTAACCCATGTCTCCCGATGAGCTAAAATTGCTAGCATATCACCAAGAAATAGAAATTCATCCCTTAACAAATTTGCCGACTCTTCATCTCCTTGAGACCGATTACGGTCCCTTGACACCCCATAGTCCTGCAAAAGTGCCCATACATACCGCTCTATTCCTCCACAAGTCCAATCTATGCAAAATTCCGCTTCCATTCTTCCTCACACTTGATTACCTGGAAGATGTCAAGCAGCAGGAGAAGAATAATGAAAATGAGTATGCTTCGATCTACCCGTACATATTTGAGGTATACGATGATATTCTACGATGTGTTGATTGTAATGTGGAGGAGATAAGAATGGTTCTTAGTGAGATAAGAGATGTTAGGATGGAGAAGAGCAGAAGGGGACTGGTTGGTATTGATGGACGAGCATTGAACTTGAACAATTTGACTGTTTACGAGTATGAACAGATTAAGAGTGTGCTCTTGGATGGGATGGAGATGGCGTTGCGGATGGAGAAATAGTGAGGATGACGAGCAGATGGAAATCGTAGAGAACAGAGATGTAATACGGTACGACGGGTAGATGGAAAGCGTAGAGAACAGGGATGTAATACGGTACGACGAGTAGATGGAAATCGTAGAGAACAGGGATGTAATACGGTACGACGAGCAGATGGAAATCGTAGAGAACAGAGATGTAATACGGTACGACGAGCAGATGGAAAGCGTAGAGAACAGG